AGTGTTGCTTCGTTTCATGTGATAATACTTTCTCTTTTAATTCTTTATTATTAAACAGACATAATTTCTTGTTTCGTTAACAAGTTCCGCTGTTCAAGTCCTATAATTGCTGTTTGAGAATACCGACTAATTTGTCAATCGAAATGTTTTCGTTTTCAATAACCTCTGGGTCACTTTCTTCACTATTGGAAGCGAATTACAATGACAAGGAACTTGATTTAAATCATATCAAAGACGGAGTACATCGAGATGAAATACTACACTTAGTAAGGAATTATAAGCCAAATAAAATATAAAACATCTGCCCTGAAGATAAGGATAGTGCTGACAGATCAACTTGCAATCCACAGCGTGAAATTGATAAACAGATTTCGGATTTCAAAACATGCTTTCGCTTTGTAGATACAAATTACATATTAGTAAATATATATCGGAAATTATATTTGACATAATCGAAAGTTCAAGCTTACTTTTATGAAATTGCTCTAACAGTCTGCAAAAAATGAAATGCCAGATCCAATTCGAAGATTAAGGAACAATGCAATCTGCAACATTAACTGAATTCTTAGCTTAGCTTATACCTCCGTTACACATTAACGCATTGCACGCATGCGCACAAGCATATTTGCAGACGTAAAGGTCTTACGCACACTCTTAAACTCCTGTGCGCATGCGTGAATGCCACGCATGCGCAGAAAGTTTGTAGCTTTGAGGTCCGGATTATAGATCATTCCGGATTATGGGTGTCCGAATTAACGACTTTTGACTGTATTCGATAAAAGTTTAAAAGTAAATCTATTAAATGTTTTTATGTATAATAATATACTAAAATACCGAACAAAGAACAAGGCTTACTGTCCAAAAAGCCACAGCAAGCAGCAATACAAAATGAGAAACTAATAAAACAAACTAAGAGGAATATACAACCAGTATGAGAAAATTATTATTTCTGCATCCTTTGATGCTTATCACACATTCATAAATTCATTCTGGCTCTTTATGTCATCCATTACTTATATGCCACACACTTTATATCTTTATTCAGTACATGTTAATTATTTTTTGCCATTGGAAATGAATAAGAATATGAACAAGCATGCTTCCGAACGCATCACTCATATAGATATTGCTTCAGTGATGATATTTTAACAAAAGGCATCTCAAAGTAGCACAGACATTTCAAATCTTGCCAAGAAACGTCTGCAGGAATGAAGAAACATAATACCTCTTAACAGGTACAATCTGTCCAAATAAAAAAAAAAAAATCCATATATAAACTCTAGGGATTGTTGATGAAACATTTCAGCCATTACTGAGAGCTTAGTAATGCTTCAAGCTATTTTGACTGGCAGACTGTCTTCATATTCATATCATATATCATGCTAGATAAGCAAATGTAAATTTGCAGTGCCTCGGGGACTTTAGACTGCTGATAATGTCTTTATGTAATTCTTGAGAAAGAAAGCCATATTAATAGATACATTTCAGAAATCAAACAACAGCCTTCAAAATCAAAAATGCACTATCTTCATGTCTAGAGAAAGCACCGTAAGCCAAAAGCAATATGAACTCAGTACTGATTCTGATTAATGGTAGCACAGGAATTCTGCTGGAATTTATTCTAAGTAGATCAATGTATCTAACTATAAGAGCATGCTATGTTGACTACAGAACAATACAAGGCTCAAAAGTCTATTATAGCATATCAATGGTAACTGCATGATTCCTACAAGGCTGAAGCACACATGCCCATTAAACTGTAGAAAATTATGGTACAAAAAAGTGATTACAAGTACTTGTTCTTCAAATTTTTCTCATCTAGCCATCTACAACCTTCAACTTTCCAAAATTAAGACTAAGTTTACAGAATAGAAATTTGGCAGAAAAAACAAAGTTCATGAAGAAATCAGAATTATGAAGAGAGATGATGACAGAATAACTGGAAGCATTAAATTAACTCTTGAAAGGACTCCTTTGACTCTTCTTGAAAGGAAAGGACTCCTTTCAAGAAGAATATAAAAAATTAAAACCTCAAAGTATTCTACAAATTTTTATTATGAATGCCAAATGATTCATGATGACTTTGGTTTAAATGCAGAAGCCTTTCATTTTCACAATTAAGAGCACAGAATATATAATCGATGCAAAAAATTCATAAGACATCTTTTATTTATTGCTGTTGGCAATATATAAAAGAGACAGACTGTACTGCACAGTATAGGTGTGCTATACTGTACAGGGCCTCTTCTAAATAATAAAAAAAATTTCCATTCATAAATTTTACTGCACGTTACTTCTCACTGAAACATTTTTCATTGAAAAAATATAGTTTATTGTAATATTTAGCAACATATAGTTATTTTCTAATATAACTAGGCAGTAATTCATTTTAACTTCATTTTTAATCAGGTAACATTTAACTAACAAATAGCCAATTAAGGTGATAATAAGAAATGTAAGATATCTACTTACTTTTCACAAAAGAGGCATACAGCAAAAAATAATTTTAAAAGGATATCTTATTATAAAATGTTAAAATAATGTTAATCTGCAGAAAGATTTGGCTGTGATTCAGCATGTTTATTATTCTTGGCATTGTACACATTATGTTTCATTTCTAGTGGGTTCTGTCATTAAACCTGACATCTTTCATACTGGTACAAATTTGGCAGTTTTAGCAAATTTTTAAACACCCTGCATTGCTTCACACAGATCTTTCAATTTTTGATGTTAAAATCTTGCAGATATGAAAATTATTTCCTTATATCTCTTCCTCTCAAAATACTCTTTCCTACCCAAGTTTAAGAATATGACTATTAATTTATTAATAAAAAATTGATAAAATACATTGCATTGAATGGAAATTTTACATTAAACACACTTACGTTCTCTCTCATATTCATCCATATCAAGAGAAACTTGAGCACCTTCAGAAGCATTATAGCTAGATACATCTTGCTTTAAATGACAAAAAGCTCCAACAGATTCAGACATTAGTAGACGATTTAAATCAGCTTTTTGGTATACCTAAAAATAATATCACTTTAGAATATCAGTTTAATGAAATTTTTGCAGTTATTGTTTTACATATATAAATAGCAATTTTTAAATTAACCAAAGGAATAAAATTAAATGAGAAAGAGTAAGCAAAAAGATAATTACTAATTTTCACACAGTTTTGCCATGCACTGATGTTTTGTGAAAGTAATTTTTTCATGATTCTGCAGTAAACAAACTTAACTTTTTTCATTAAAGGATCATGTTAATCTGCCTCCCAAACAAGTAGAAACTGACCATAGAACCATAAATGATGATAGACACAGTATTAGACAAAATTTGATAAAAATTAAATTCTAGTCCTGCAAAGCAGACAATTAAATCTCTAACTTTGCAAATGTCATTAGCTTAATGACAGAAAATTTTATGGAGCTTACAATAAGTATCATTAACTCAACAATAAAGCTGCATTCCAAGACTTCTGGATTCCAAAATATTTAAAGGTCAAAAACATTTAATGAAACTACATATTTTGTAATCACTTACATATCATTCATGTAAGTCTACAAATAAGGCCAAAAAACTAATGTTCACTTGATATATTATATCAAAAAAAATGTTTCACACAACTCTTTTTGCAGAAAACATCACATAATTTTACTGATTTTCTTCATTTGAAAAAAAATGTGAATTCAGATACAAAAGCAATGAAAAAATCTCAAATTTAAATATATATATATATGAGGCAACCTTCTACTCAGTATGTAAAAATACTGAAATTTAGAAATGACATAAAAATTTACATAAAGTCTTGAGTACACCTTATAATTATATGGCTTTTAATTTTAAAATAAATTTGAAATCAAATATAAAAGCATTTCTATATCTGATTTGAATTACTTACCCAGCATCTATATTTACTGTATGCATCTTCCTCATCATATGTGATTAAATAAGATTTTAAATTTTCCTTCCAGTATCCAATGCATTTCATTTTATAATCAGGTTCACCTGAAAAATAGAAGTAAAATTAAAATTAGTAAATGCCTGCATTCCTAAGTCATTGGGACTGTCATTGGCAAGAGCTTTGGGCGCCATACAGGTGACAATATGACTCAGTTCTGTCCCCTAATTTTGATGGACAGCACCCTGGGGGGGAAACAGGTCTGAAGGTCTCTCACCCCTCTTCCTCTACCACCAACCTCTCGAGAGAACTTTCCACTCCCTGCATGTTTAGAGTGCCCCCCATGCCACTGCATATTTAGAGTACCCCCAGACACTATTACAAACATCCATGCCTTCTCCAGGATTCGAACCCTGGCTCTTTCGTAGAACAGACAGAATCACTAACCACAGTCCCTGTTGGGTGGCTAAATAAATAACATGGGTATGCATAGAAATCTAATTTTTGTATGCTCTTCTTTTCCATATTTTTTAATCTTTCATTTTTATCTGGCATATAGCACACAACCATAAAACCAATCTTATTTCCTGTATTAAAAGTTTGTGTTATATGTCAGAATACATGATATTTAATAGTAATATTTTTTTTTTATCTGTACACTTCTATATTGCTAATTAATTTAAATATTTTCATTATATAGATATTTAGTTTAATTTGTACATCTGCCAAAATTAACACATTTACACTTGCAAAAGAGCTCCACTACCACTTCCCTGCCACATTCTAAAAATAGCTTCTCAAAGGTCCCCGACTAATAAGGGTCCCTCTCTGCTTCTCTCTACATCTTGGATAGCATGACAAATTCCCTCTGAGTAGGGAGACAGACATGAGCAAATCACCATCCCCACACTTGAAAGCACATAAGTTAATTAATTCATATTCTGGCCTTTAATGTATATTTTGTACACTTAAATTTGTACATTTTCATGTACTTTATTTTACATAAATCTCTTTAATTTTTTCCACTTTTATTTTTCATTAATTTTGCAAAGATTACATTGTGTTATGTTTTATTATGTTTATAATGGTTGCTTTGAATTATATTTCATAAATGTTTGCAAAGCTTACATTTTCTTTATTGTGCTTATAAAGACTTTTAATTAACATGCATGAAAGTGAGGGTGTCAGAGGACACTTTACTCAAGTAAAAGAGAAAAAAAAAATTGTTTTACTACTAATTAAATTGCAAAGAAATTTTTTACTACTACTCAATTTGGCTATAATATCTCAAGATATATACAAAATTCATAAGTTTAAGGGAACTGCTACATTCATACTGAATTCTATAGTCCTTCACTTTAATTCATATCACTTTAATCTCAATAATTGGATTGAACTCAAAGACTGGCTTAAACTCAAATTACCAGTTAACTTGAGTAAAAGATGAAACACCTTCGCATTTATTAATTATTGTTAATTGAACGGGAATTGGTTTTTCCCCTTGAAAAGTCAACCAATTTCCGATCAATGGCGATAATTATTTAGTTTATTGATTAATTTTCAATTTAAAAGTTTCCATTTCTATTTTTCATGATTAAAATTGAACTTTCCTTTAAAAAAATTTTTTCGGGATTCAATTTTAAATGCTTCTGGGTTAATTAACTCTACTAACTTTATGTAAGGAAATAATATACTCAATATTACATTAGTCAATAAATAATTAATTTATTACTCTGCAGCTATTGCGCAAGTATTAGGAAATTTATTTCAATATATTTTAATTAACTCATTCTTTGATATTTATATATATATGTAGTATTTTATGTGCGTAGATGTCACTGATAGTTACAGCAGCTTTCGATATCTGTCATGGCTGATGGTTAAGGCATACATACAGATGAAGATAACAAAACCTGATTTCAATAAATCACCAATCTTTATTTTCGCACATATCAAAAGTCATCCTTTCGTAGACAAGATGTTTTTTAATCATAGTGAAATTTCCATGTACATGAGTTTTAAAAGTACGACAAGAGCATTTTGGACAGCACAGCATAAGCGGCACAGAGCTATTTGCAGGGTAGGAGCTACATGTTTCATAAAAATCGGTAGATGCAGAAAATACTTGAAGTTGTGATTGGTTCATTTTAGTTTTAGTTACCTTTAACACCAAGTTCCAAATCATTCATATCATGTCATATATATATATATATATATATATATATTGTATGTATGTATGTACCGGGTAGCCATAATTAAACTGACAGTGCTCACAGTGTTCTGTAACGTGATCTATTTGCGAGAATGATGCCACATTTTGTAGGAAGATTAAACAACACAGAGGACGAAGGATTCCGTGAAAAAAAAAAATTAGTTTCAAAAGTCACCGCTAGGGGAATATTTGGCACTGTGTAATAGAAAATAAAGTGTTAACAAATGCAAATTAATACGGAATAAAATTTATCCTACGTCCATTCTTCTATGAGAACATTATCCCGACAGGACCGGAAACCTGTTCTGTTACCGGAGAGAAATATCGCCACATGTTGAACAGCTTTGTCATTCCTGCACTTCAGCAAAGACAGTGCCTGGGGGAAATCCTTTTCTTGCAAGATGGAGCCCCTCCACACATTGCTGTACGGGTGCAACAGATGCTACGACAGAAATTCACAACAGAATATTAGCCGCTACTTTCCAACTGCATGGCCACCTCGGTCGCCTGATCTTACCCCATGCGACTTCTGGCTATGGGTTTACCTTAAGTCCAAGGTCTATCAAGGAGTGGGCCAGGACCTGGCTACGTTGAAGGATAACATATCACGGACTGTACGGGAGATTCCTGCAGACATGTTACTTTCTGCTGTTGTGCATACTGCGCACAGAATGCAATATGTGGTCCACAACAACGGCACCCACATTGAACCTCATTTGAATGCAAAGTAAAAGGTAATTTCCGTATCGATTTGCATTTGTTAACACTCTATTTTCTATTACACAGCGCCAAATATTTTAAAAACTACTTGTGCAATTTTTACAGCGCCTGCCAGTTTGGCATAATATTCCCCTAGCGGTGACTTTTGGAACTAATTTTTTTTCGTGAAATCCTTCGTCCCCCGTCTTGTTTAATCTTCCTACAAAATGTGGCGTCATTCTCGCAAATAGATCACGCTACAGAACACTGTGAGCACTGTCTGTGTAATTATGGCCACCCATTATATAACATATGTATGTTTTTGCTCTTGTTCCAGTAACATGATGTAAAGTAATAGGAATTATTAATTTACTTCATTAATATTATATAAATTAAAAAGAATTACACCATACATTTTGTTAAATATTTTAGGGAGAGTAATGCAAAAGCATTACAGTTTATTGCAGAAATAATAAAACATTCCTCTTCAAATAACTTAAACCATTATTTGTAAATTTATCTATCTCCCTTTAGTAGCATCCCTATAGGTGCATCATAGTTCATCTCTTCTTTTCTTCAAGTTTTCCCTAGTTTCTTCCATTATCCTGGAACTGGAATTAGGATCCTGGATTAGTTTCTTCCATTATCCTGGAAGAAACATGCTTCTTCTGAAAGAAATCCAGCCCTGGAGGATACAGAGTTAAAAAGCAGCTCTGATACAGCAATTCCATAATGCAGAGCAAAAACGGATTAGAAGTCAGATCAGAAAACATACTGATTGACTGTGGGAAATACATATGCGAGTTTAATTGTTCATGCTAATGGAATTTTGGAATTAATACAGGTTTATAAATCATAATGAATGATTTCTTAGAATTCATAGATGAATCACAACCTATAATCAAATCATTTGGCACTCTTCTGTTATCAGAACCAGATTCAAAAATGTATGTACGTATGCCTGTATGGATGGATGTATGCGTTCATGTATGCATGTATACATGTATGCACATATGTACACTACATCAAAAAAAAAGGGACAGTTCTATATCTCCCATTCTACTGGGATAACTGACGAAATTCAAATTGTGTTTTTCATGTCTCAAAATTGCAACTTAAGATATATATTTTACATTTACATATAACATTGTTCTAATACAGGTATTCTGACACAAAATTGGTCTTTCTCTAAAATAACATATCAATATTTTTCCATATTTCGATTCCACAACTCAAATTATGCCCAGATATTAAATTTTGTAATTTTTGGTGAGATATTTATGGAGAAATTTAAAAATTTATCTTGGTGCATTTAATTTTTTCAACTCGCGCCAAGAATAATTCACTTGGCAAACTTTTTAATTTATCGCAACCTATTTTCCTTTCCTTTTTTTCACTGTACACAAGCAGAAAAGAAAAAAGTCATCGTTCATACTTTCAAATAATTTTTTTTTTTTTTAAATAAGTGTGTAAACCACTTTTGGGATTATTATCGCTTATAACAAATACAGTCAAAAGTCGTTAATCCGGACTCATCGGGACTTCAGCGATTCCGGATTATCGATTTTTCCGGATTATAGATCATCAATTTAAATCTCGTAAGATGCCATGCAGAAATTCTAAAATTAAAAATATGAAACAATAATTTATGAAATAAAGAACAATTATGACCTAAAGGGTATCAAAATTTACACAAAAATAAAAGCTTAATATTTATTTGTTTACTTTATTAAACATTTCTTTCAATGTAAGTTGTTTAAGTTGCTTCATTTTATGTGATAATACTTTCTCTTTAATTCTATAAACAGACATAATTTCTTGTTCAGTTACAAAGTTCCGCTGTTCAAGTCCCGTTAATCGCTGTGACGAGAATACCGACTAACTGGTCAATCGAAATTTTTTCGTTTTTCACTAACCTCTCTGTCACATTCTTCATGTCTTTATCCATTTTTTGCAGCAATTCCACTTTTTGTTTGTTGGACATCGAAACATACTTTCGTTTTGTAGATCCTTTGAAAGTTCCAGCATCGGAAATTCTATTTGACATAATCGAAAGTTCAAGTTTACTTTTATAAAATTGCTCTTGCAGTCTGCAAAAAATAATAAGCGGGATCCAATTCGAAGATTAAGGAACAACGCAATCATTAACATTAAGTGAAATAGATAATTAGATAATTTTAGCTTACACCGTCCGTTATATATTAAACGCGCAGGCTAAAACGTATTCTGCACTTGCGCACATGCATATGCGCAGTAGTCAAGGCCTTACGTGCACGCGTAAAATGCCTGTGCACATGTGCCAATGCGGCACATGCGCAGAAAGTTTTTAGCTTTGAGGTCTGGATTATAGATCATTCCGGATTATGGGTGTCCGAATTAACGACTTTTGACTGTATGACAAATTTCAACATGCGCCAATATTGTAAATTCATGTATATCTTAAGAAATTTTGAATTAAAAAAAAACTCAAATTTCTTACAGGTATGCTTAGAAATACCTCTGCTGTTAAGGTGATGGTAAAAATCTGTTAGGTTATAACTGAAAATTTTTTTCGAAAAATTTATAAAAATTATTTATAAAAGTAAATAAAAAAATGGGCGAATTTTATTTGGAATGAACCTAAATTTCAAAATGTGAAAGGAAGAACCAAACAAGTTTAATAAAAAAAGAGAAACTAATAAACATAGCCCAAATTTAATTAACATTGAGAAGCTAAAATTTTGAGAGCTAATTTTTTAAAAACTACTTGTGCAATTTTTACAGCGCCTGCCAGTTTGGCATAATTTGAGTCGTAGAATCGAAATATGGAAAAAAATTGGCATGTCAATTCCGAAAAAGTCCAATTTTATGTCAAAATACCTATATTAGAAGAATGCTACATATAAATCTATTACATATCCTAAGTCGCGCTTTTGAGACATGAGAAACAAGTTGAATTTCATCAATCAGCCTACTATAACAGGAGATATAGAACTGCCCCCTTTTTTTGTACAGTGTTGTATGTGTGTGTACACACATACGCACACCGCTTACACAGGTATATTTCTTAATCTGATCCCGATAACAGAAGAGTACCAATCATTTTTAGATCTCAAACATCGGTAACCTTGCAAATGTTCAGCTTGAGAAGTTAATAGTCTTCTTAGTCAATAAATGAAATTCTACACATAACACAAAGAATCTTTACCAAATTTTCCAGAATTGGAAATTCCTTCTCAATTATGCATTACAGCTCAGCATTGGTAAAACCAGGCATGCATTGCTAATATAATATATACATTATATTGTATATAGTTAAAAATACAATAATTGTTTATTTAAATCATAAAGAAAATAACAGACTTACTATATATGTCAACAGGACGACCAAAATAATCAACAGATATACAGTATTCAGCATCAATGTATATAATCTTCTGATCAGCATCACAAACAGAAAAATCAGATACAATATCCTGACACTTAACATTAGGCCTTGGGCTGGATGTGACACCACCTCTTATTCTTGTTTCAAACAGAATATCCCCCTTCTGATAGAAACGAAATTTCCCAGCAACAGGGCATTTAATTGAAACTGGGTTCATGGCTGCAAAATAAAGAAATGCAGTGAACGTAAATCATTTATACAGCTGCAGGAAATAAAATTTACATAAAATGAAGTTTTAGGCCAGTTGTATTATTACAGTTTCCCTATATATTTTAGTTTATATGAATTTAAAATATTATTAAAATAATAAAAATTTTAACTTTTAAAAGTGTGTTTATTATTTACTTTGTTAGGCATTTGCAGACTGATTAAAGATGAATAAATTTAAGATTTTTTTGCTCTATTTCAATACTCTAAGAACTGGTCATGGGTGAGAATATTTCTGTGAGAAATATGTATATTTGTAGAAAACGATTATGAATTTATGTTTGACAAAGTGACAAAGTAAATCAATGATATTTGTGTATTAGTGTTATGTAACAGGTTAAAATGTTTTTGAAAGACTCTGTTAAAAATATATTTCATATATATAATATATATATATATAAAGGGGGTAAGAACAGAAAAAAGGAAGTAAACTATGTAATTACAAAAATCAACCAAAATTCTTGAAATAAAACATGCAAATATTTTTTGACCACAAATACATATTATAGAAATTGCACCTGATGCATTATGAATTAAATGAATGTTATAGATAGTTTTTATGGAAATTTGCAGCATTATCATAATATTTCTCATGCACATATTATTCAAAACCAAGGCAAAAACAATAACAGCTGCCTCCACTAACCATCTTCCCCAAAAAATTATTCCTATTAGCTTTTACAAACATAATCAAATGATATTGCATTTAAAAAAATTTATATGAATAATATAATTTTGATTCCATAGGTACAAAAATATAAACTGCATATAAATCACATAAAGACCTAAAACAGCAACTATATACAAACATATAATGTATGAAAAAAAAAAGTAATTTAATATTTTCATTAATTCTAAGCACCTGGGCTGGATGTTTTTCTAGAGAAAAAATCAGAACTGCATTTGACATCCAGTTTTCATATAAATAATAAAAAACTTACCTTGTATACACACAAAACAAATATTCTTATTTCTCTGTGAAAAATATAAAATTTGGACTTTTTTGGGAGAAAGGATGGTTCATTATCATTCTTAAAAATGTCTATTTCACTATGCATATTTAGAATATAAAATAATAATCTACTTTACAACGCCTGTTTTCGTGCTACTACTACTACTAATTTTTACACAAAATGCAGCTCTAAAAGTATATGCACTACTTTACTGATTAAATGACAAAGCTGGAATAAGATCCCAATATTTTCAGACAGGTTATTGTTATTTTTACTATTTTACATTTATAGCAACCAATACATGTTATAAAATACTTCTCTGCAAGACAAATGTAAAATATTTTGACTAAAAAATACTATAAAAGACGAAACTTGTACTACCTACCAATTAGAAGATCGTATCGCCATTTGTCTTTATTAGGAAACATTGTCCAAGAACATACAATTGAAAATTCATCTACAATCATGGATTTCCCTAAAAACAAACAAAAAATATAATTACAGTAAACTTCTCATAGTGATGAGTATTCTTCTCATCAGTAGAGGAAATAAAACTCTTTAAAAAAAAAAAAAAAAAAGAAAAAAAAAAGAAAAATTTTAAGCATAATGCAAATTTCAATTACACAAAAAATATTTTTTATAAATTTTGCAAGTTATAAAATGTGTCTTCCAGTTTCGTAAAAAATTCACAGAAATTGATAAAAAAAAAAAGGAAACAAAGTTTCAACTTGTTATAAAAAAAAATTAATCGCAATAATTTCTCAATTAAAAACACGATAACAGTCCATTTCAACAAAATGTTTCTATGAAAAATCATAAATGCAACTTTTAAGCCATTTACATGTTTATACCAGATAGTATACACATTATACTAAACATCCTAGTGATGCAACATTATCTTTTTATGCCTAAATGTAAGTAATTCAGATAATCTTTATGCTCTGTAAATTTGTGAAACACATATATTAAAAAATTACCTTTTCTATATCTGATGATATTATGATGCCGTGGAACAAAATCAAAACACATGAAGTCTTTCTGACTAAAAATAGAAATAGTTTTCATGTTAATAGAAATTTAGTTTACAGATTAAAAATAATTTACATAACAAATACAAAATCAGAAATCTCAGAAAGATATAAGTAGTTAGGGGAAGTATAAATTTTCTACACTGAAGGGAAGTAACAAAACTTAAAGGCATGTAATTATAAGCACGTGATTTTGACTGGGTATGACAGATATCTTCTTTCAGCATTTTTCTACAATTAATTGAGCAGAAATTCATTTTATATCATTTTTTCTCATGCTTACTCAACTGAACATTTTTAATACAAAGCAAGAAAAAAGAAAATCATTTTTAAACATGATTTTAATTTGTAATGCAAAATTTAGAGCTTCAATTAAATTATAGGATCGTAAGTCTTTCTGCTTGAGACAGATAGGTAATCAAAGAATAAACAAATTAATTAACTCAACATGAAAAGGTAATTTCATGAAATGTGTAGGAAAAAAATTAATATGATTTCAACACATCAGACAAACTTTTTAGTTTTAATTCTGGAAAATGCCAATTAGATCAAAGTATTTGCAATGTCATATTACAAATACTATTAGCATTTGTTAGAATTTTACAGAACATATGCTCGTCACTATATATTTCCACACTTATAACAATTTACAATAATGCTCTAAGAAATTAGAATAAGTATTCCTTAAACTCCCCTACTTATGAACTACTTTTCTCATAGTTAAAAATCTATCCTATATGATTCATTCCAGATTTATATTATTTATTCAATACCAAATATCCATACAAGTAGATTTGGCTTATTAGTTTCCAATAGACAGCTCTCATTTCTTACACGCCCCCCCCAAAAAAGGAGAATTAGTAAATTCCATTTTTCTTTTATTTTGATATATGAGAAAACAAAAATTTTATGACTATTCCATATAACAAAAGAATCAATTCTAACCCAAAGTGATTTTGAAATCTCCTTTAATTGGATTACATTTCTCCTTTAATTGGATGCTTTCTATTGGAAGCATAAAATTATTTAACTTTTCTATACATAACCCTGTAGACACGTTAGTGTTTTATATATATATATATATATATAGCAGGCAAGATGAAAAAATCGCCTTTGCCAGGAATCGAACCATGGACCACTGAAATACTGGCTCAGTACGCTGACCACTACACCAGAAAGGCAGGAGAAATACCTTATATACTCCCCTCCTTTTAAAGGGCGACTGGGGTTTTTAGGGGACATAATTGCCAAATCCTGGGTGAGGAGAATCATCATCCAACACCCTTTTAGTTTGGGCACCACTGTAGAGACATTAAGATTCTTTCTGAAGCAGGCAAGATGAAAAATGTGTAAATGCCTTCGACGGGAATTGAACCACGGACCTCTGAAATACAGGCTCAGTGTGCTGACCACTACACCACAAAGGCTTGCTAGGAAGGCAGGAGAAATACCTTATAACCCAATTTAATTCAGTTTTTGATATTAAAATTAATACAAGGCTACAGTGAAAACCAACAAACAGCTACATTTAAAATGAAATATGATCCCCTTATAATTAATTAATTATGGTAAAGTACTTGAGGGTTCCCTAGTTTACGTGAGATACCTCTAGAAATGGCATTTTTAAGGTAAATTAATTTGTATCTACATTACACATAAGAAAGATTGTGAAAAACCCAAACACCTAGTTTATTTTTCTAAGGAAAAAAATTGGCAGGAAACAGCAAGTGCTTAATGGTTTTGCCTATTTTGCCACTGACAGACTATTTTGACTGAATAATACAAACAATTAACAAATATCAAAATAATCTTTTTTCACAAACAAAGTGGCATCTATTACCAAAAAAAAAAAAAAAAAATTTATTCTACCTGATGGAAAATGTACATACTAGAATTGAAAACTGCACTATATAGTCTCATCATCTTCTATTTAATATATATATGTATATTATAAATTAACATTATAAATTAATATATGATTACAAATTAACACTGTTGCTAAATAACAAAAGCTTTTTTTTCTACCTTCATTGCTATGTGAGTACTTAGGTCAGTACAGAATTAATTATTTAAAAAGTCATTTACCAGAATTTTCACAGAATATTTTAAAAGTGCTATTTTATACTTTGAATGTCATAAACAAAAGAGATTACTAATATCCTATAAATGGTGAATTGCAACATTTCTAACTGTAATATCCTACAACAAGTAAACTGCAAAACTTCTAACAGATGAATTTCCAAAATCTTAACAGTACTTCATGGATATGCTAACGCTACTTCTTGGGAATACTAGTGTCAGCATTCAGTATAAATTTGAATGATGATGATGAAATTTTATAATAACAAATAAACTGCAGGCCTCATACATTTCTGTTTCTTGTTTTGCTCAGAGTAATATGCCCCCCTTTTTTGTAATATTTCAACATTTTTTCATTCACACCCTTTTACACTGGGGGGGGGGGAGAGAAAGAAACAAATGCAAAAACAAAAAGTACATTTGAAACTGAAATTCATACTTATTTTACTTTTAATTTTTTTTTTTTTTTTTTTTTTTTACAATTAATATTTAGTTTCATAAATTAGCAGCAGTTGATATCAAGTTTACTTATGAAGAGAAGTCAAATTTTTGGATGTTTCTTTTACATTTTTCTACTTATGCGTATTTTTAAATTTTAAATACCAGACTCTTTTTAGATGTGTTATCTAAAAAGAGTTTTTCAGATGTGTTATTGAAAGAGTTTAAGGTATTATCAAGATGTTGTGTTCTTCAAAATATATCTGAACTTCCAGAGTACAAATACACTTTTTTTAAGCAAGTAAAGGCAACTGCGAGCACTTGGTTTTCTAGCATTGACCACTCCTAAGGCCATAAGTGGCAGCCATTCTATTCTGGAGGCACCTAATAGGCGGTCGCTATTACTTACCTACGAGGGTACAAAAAATTTACATCATGCCTTACCCTGGATTCAAACCCGGACCCTTCAGCATCGCAGTTGGCTTCCCTAAACACTATGCCATCTGGGCGGCAATAAAAGCAAAATTTTCATATTCTAAAACATTTACCTTCTCAGCAGTATTTATCTGAAAGCTTCTACGTTTTTAAACTTTCTTCCATCCATACTAGGTGATATCATTATAACGATTGTATCCCTAAATATTTTGAAAAACATTGACCTGCAAATTTAACTTTAATCATAAATTCATGAATAGGCACAAAATAAAGCTTAACAGCTTATTCAACTTTTAAAACTATTGGGGCCGGATCAACATGGATAGAAATGGTATGGAAGAAAAAAAGCAATGGAAAAACGCTAAAAACATCAAAACTTCATTCAATATTCCATTTCTCAGCAATAAGTTTAAAAAAGAAAATTTTAGAACAAAACCAATTTACTTATAAATAAAATAAATGAATTATGATATGAATTAACAGAAAATTTGTTTGTTTTTTTGTTTAACTGAATACAGCAAAGCACACAACAGCTATTGACCCAACTGAAAGGAGCCTTCAAGGAGGACTTTCTAGGCAAAACTGGTATGCATTTACATTACATATGGGAAAAATTATAAAAAAAATTCATGCAGCTAGTCTGTTCCCAGGATTCGACCTATGTCGAACAACCAGCATTCACTTGTCTTAACCTCTCAACTATTAATGGGTGAATTTTAATAAGACAGAATAAGAATAAAAGACAAATTTAAGTATGCAATATTTTTAGAATTTCACAATTATAAATATCATTTGACAAAGAATATTGCAATTAAAAATTTCTTTCTTCAAACAAAAGAGAAAAAAATTGCATTATTAATTAATAATTGCAAAATTAACTACTCAATTTTAATTACGGCAAATTTCCATAATTTTTATCTACATTAATAAGAGGCAATTGTAACACATCTTATACAAAAAGTAAAATTTATAGAAACCACAAATACACATTACCATCCATTAATGCCCATCCTGGCTAAAACAAAACGTGAATCTCGTCTTTCATGACATATATAAACTTGTACTTTCTCTCTACCTGTATCAGGCTTCCAACGCTCAACTATATGTGTGCCATTGATTGTAACTTCAGCATCAAAATTAGCAGTATTGATCCATACACCCGTAAAATTGTCGTAGAACTTGCAACGGGGTTCAACATATTCAGCCTTAACTAAAAAAAAAATAAACAAAATGGCTTATAAAAATATGATTAGACGGAGGGAAAGAAAATCATAATCATTTTATTTAAATTATCTTACCAGGAGTTAAATGCAATCTTTCTGGTCCCCCTTGTGCAGTTTTTAATGTATTGCACTCAGCTGTTATGGAAACTGATATGTAGTAATCATCATCTCTATTTGCAAGCTAAAGTATATTACAAAAATTAGCATTAAGAGAAAAAAAAAGAATATAAAAATATGAACACAGATAAAAGCATTAAAATGTGACATGTTCAAAGCTTTCTTTTATTCAGATAGGAAAAAATATATCATCACTGCTACAGAACAGATTCAAACTCATAATAAATTATCGGACATCATTATTCGTTTAGTGGTGTTTGACCCAAAGGCCTTTACCACTACATGTTTATCATTACCCTAAGGATCTGTAAAAGTTCGTTAAATTCCATAAAAATGGGAAAATCCTGTGCACTTGTAATAAAAGTGCAAAGTCCTCAGTAGTGAAGAAGTTGATCAGGCGTAGCGCCATCTATCGGTCATGGGTGAAGTCTTCTCTGGATAAGCAATAATAGCAATTAGATATCGTCAGGCATAACTTTGACATATCTTTTCGCAATGGCATATCTTTTACACATTATCGGAGATTTGACACAGTATCGTACAGTAAAAATAGAAAATAATATATACAAGAGAAGAATAAGAAAATAATATATACAATTTTTTTTGCTTTCGTCTGAGGTGAAAGTACCTAGATCTTAATACTCATAGGAAAGTAGACTGTCACATGATATCGAATTTAATTATGATAAAGTCAGTAGCCTTGGTACCGGGCAAAGTAAATAATAAGATGAAAAATGATGATAAAGATGAAACAAAATCTAGATTAAATAGTTTAAAATAATAAAATATATACAAAAACTACCATCCAATATTATAATATATAGTTCTGGGCCATTTATGTGTGGCTGTTCGATTAGATAGTCGTACTCCCCCATGTTTTTAATAACTTCGTGAGTGGATTATAAAGTAATTATTTATACCTTTAGAAGCATCTGATAAAAATTCTGGATATATTCACAAATAAAATGTGCTATATTGAACACTTTGCACAAAAAAAAAGGGGACAGTTCTATATCTCCCGTCCTACTGGACTGATTTGTCGAAATTTAACTTGTGTTTTCCATGTCTCCAAAGCGGGATTTAGGATATATATTAGATTTATATATAGCATTATTCTAACACAGGTATTTTGACACAAAAATCAAACTTTCTCTGAAATAACATGCCAATTTTTTTCCACATTTCGATTCTACAACTCAAATTATGCTCGGATATGAAATTTTGTAATATTTGGTGGGAAATGCAGTATTTTAAAAATTTATCTTGGCACTTTTCTTTTAAGTTTGCGTCAAGAATAATTCACTTGGCGAACTTTTCAATTTATAATAACCTATTTTCCTTTCACTTTTTTCGTTGTACATGCATGGAAAAAAACATCATCATTCATACTTTCAAATAATTTTAACAAAGCACATAAACCACATTTGGCCTTATTATTAACATTATTTGAAATTTGTCATGCACTAGTATGTAAATTCACGTACATCTCACGAAATTTTGAATAATAAACTCTAATTATTTGCAGGTATGCTGAGAAATACATCTACGTTAAGATGATGCTAAAATTTTATAGGTAATAATTCAAAATGTTTTTTGAAAAATTTATAAAATTATTTTAAAATACGAATTTTAAAAATAAATCATAAAAATGGGCAAATTTGGAATGAACCTGAAGTTCGAAATGTGAAAGGAAGAATCAAATAAGTTTAATAATAAAAGAGAGATTAATAAAAATATACAAAATTCAATTAAAATGGAGGTGCTAAAATTTTCAGAGCTAATTTCTTAAAAACTAGCTCATGCGATTTTTACCAAACTTGGCACTTGGGCATAATTTTAGTTGTAGAATCGAAATATGGAGAGAAATTGGTATGTTATTTCAGAAAAAGTTCAATTTTGTATCAAAATACCTGTGTCAGAACAATGCTATATAAAATTTAGCATATTTCCCAAGTTACGCTTTCGAGACAAGGGAAACGCAAGTTAAATTTCAACAATCGGTCGAGAAGAATGGGAGATATAGAACTGTCCCTTTTTTTGTGTGTATAAGGTGTACATATTAGATGAAACAACTTCATTTATTCCTTCGGTTAATTATTCATGTTTTGGGGTGCAATGGTGCCAACTTACCAATTGCAGAAACCCTGACTTTTTAAAAATCAACAGGATTTCCTCAGCCATAAAAATGTATTTAAAAAAATAATAAATATGTTTAAGAATACTAATTGTGTCACCAAAGGAAATTGAAAAACTGCAATGAAAAATGATGCACATTTCCTTAATGAAACAATACAAGTTACATGTATCTGATATTTGAAAAGTATAAATGTGCTATACTTTTTCCACAACATAATCAAGGCAAAAGCTTACAAATTCTTAAAACATTTTTCAAAGCATGTAAAACAAATACTTTTTAACAAACAGAACTAATAAGAACAGCCTTGATCTTGTATTGTGCTAACTGGTAATATGATGAGTCACAGAAACACTTGATGCTTATTGGGGAACTGAAACATGTTTTCAGACACGTCTAGTCTCACATGCATAATGGAAATACCACCATAAAATCTCCATAAAATCATAAATCACCATAAAATCCATAAATCACCATAAAATCTCAATAATGAAAGTATGAAAGTATTGGTATTTTTTCACAAACCTACAGAAAAATCAATCTAGAGAAAATTCAAATAATTTCAGATTCCAGAAATCAGGTTTCAGTGTACAAATAATGAAATAATAAGCTGCACAGCTATTGTGAGACTATCAGAAAGTTAAAACAAATAAGTTGTAAATCAGGCTGGCAGAAATATAGTTGAAAGTGGGAGTCTCTGCTTAGATTATGAGAGCTGACCCCCTTTAGCTGCATGGCTCTTAATAAGTATTAAATAATTTCTTAATAAGTATTAAATAATTCATATAGAAAAACATGAATAATCTTATTTTTAATATTTAAGGTATTTCTTGAAATTTTGACACTAATAGGCAAATAGTTATTTTAGGATTTCAAACCATCTAAATCTCAGCAGCTTCCCCCCCCCCAAAAGAAAAACATCGCTGTAATTAAATAGATTTTCTGCATAATCTGATTTTTAAAAAAATCAATCCATAATATGTGCAAATGAAAATAACTGAGATAAACAATTTTGATGGCAAAGGTTTCCACACAGAATCTAACTAAATACATACATGAAAATAAATTAACTTTCCTCCAAAAAAGTTAAAAGGGGGGAAAAAGGAAGATTCAAATAATTATCTACTACAGGGGGAAAAAAGTTAATATAACAGCTAACTAAATTTTTAAATAAATATTTAATACTTACAAAGCAACGGTAAGCTTCTTCTATTCTAGATTCCCGTGCATTTAAAACTGCCCAGAAATGATTTTTTCCAATATACCAATCTCCTAAGCATTTGTACTGCACCTCTGAAAAAGTATATAATAAATTACAAACGATTTATAGCAAGTATAAAAATAAGACATTCTAAAATTCTTGTAATCCTCTTTTACCATTAATCTATTAATTAAGACTTTCATATTCATGGATTTTGAGTGCCCCTCTTTTACAAACATTTAGCCTTATTCAGGATTTGAATCTAGTGGTAATTAGCTTTCACTACCCACCATACCATTTGGGGTTAAATAAAGGCAGAGAAAATAAATACTTCAGTACATGAAATTTTTATCTAATGTTTAAAATCTATAATACACTTTACTAATATTGAGCATAAATCATTGTCAGCATATTATAAATGATATTACTAGTTTACATTCTAACTTAAAAAAAGTCTAGATGAAAACAAATTACTTCCGATTTTGAATTAAAAATAGAACTGTGATGGAGAGGAAAATCCGCACAATTACTTTTTTGGAAAGTTGATTTTTATTTATTAATTCCTAAAACTTCTGAAGTTACATTCTGTTCATCCACACACCTCAGTTTCAACATTCAGTACAATTCATGTGTTTTTGGCATACATTTTAGCCAACACACACACACATACATACCATATATATGTTTAAGTACACACTGGCAATAACACAATTTTGCACAAATTTTGAAAACATTAGCTGAAGATATCCATTAGCTACAAAAACATAATACTGGCCATAAAGATTTTTTATTTATCTCACAAAATTTCTTGTTTTATATAAAACAATTCTTCCTCTTATTATTTATGAACAGAAGAGAACCTATGAGTCATGATTGCCAAACAAACATTTTTTGATAATTCACATATTTGATTGATGATGACAAATTGATGATTTTTTGTGAAGGAGGTGGGCAGATAATCAGAAAGAACCCTTCAGAACTTTTATTTTAATATTTTTTATTAACTAAATTCCATGATTTACATAAAGATTATAATTAAAAAATACTTTAAATGAAGTAAATTTAATTTTTCTTTGTTCTGAATTCAGCATATTGAACTTTTATTAAAACAAAAATGGTATTTACATATTAATGCAACCACTTCAATAAACGTCGCCAAGTTTTCAAAAAATGCTAAACCTGGCAACCATGCGCATAACTATTTTTCCGGCAACCATGCTCATAACAATCATTCAGTCAAAGCAATGATTCCATTTTCGTACGCATTCTTTTTGCTGTATTCCATGTTCCAATGTTTTTTATAAACAAATTGTGATACCTTTTTTCCTCAAACATAGTTTTAAAATATGAGTTTGTGGAATTTGCCAGCAATGGAAGAAACTGCAGTAAAATTTCTGCAGACACAAAGTATTTTCCTGAAACATTTTTAAAGGGAACAAGGACAAAATGCATTCTTTAGATAGCCACTGTTGCCGAGATTTGCATGACGCCGAGTCTCCGCAGTTCTCTTAACTTTTTTTTTTTTTTCCAGTGAAAACAATTTGCTGTGTACTCACAAAAAAATTGCAGAAAGATTTGAAAAAAAATGTGTTTTATTTTTGCAATGTATCATGTATCCTTATTTAGTAATTCAAATTTGTATTTTAAATTATTAAAATATGCTTTCTTTTTCTTTTCATATGTTAATAATGTTTACAAACTTACAATAAATATCAATAGTCTTGGAATCTTTCTAAGAAAAAGACACAAAAACCACGCTAACTTGCACCTGATAAGTAACTTCTACATTTTCATCTGTAGAAAATCACCAACCTGGCTAAGGTGGTTGCAGTGAAATCAAACTATGTAATTTCTTTCACCTTACTAAAAAAGACTGCAAATGTGCTTTGGAGAGAATATTATAATACTTTAAAATAAGAATTAATGTAAATTAATTAAACATTATAATATAAAACATCAAAAATAAAAAAAATTCCATGATGATAAACAAAGAATACTGACTGTAGTTTATAAATCTTAGATTTGTAATGACTATAGAATGGACTACTCAATTATAGCAAACTCAGATTCTGTGTAATCTTTCTAAAGGAACTCATATTATTCAAATTACAAATGAGGGAGGAATGAAAATTTCAGGCAACCAGCCAGCTCAACTATCCAAAATAAAATCTAAGACTAACTACCAGTGTTTTTTGGCCTTTAATATTCAGCCACAAAAGTACAGTCAACTCCCAAGTAATCGAGGAGAAAGGCAAGATACACCAGGCTTTGTGTAAAAAAGGGTTAAGTTTCTTTATTTTGAACAATGAAAAAATTACTATGCATCTATTGCTTTTAAATAGCTTAGTTTGTTCATCAGTGGCAGAAAACAAATTCTGAAAGAGTTCAGGTTTTAATGGTTGCCCAAAACTGTTCTTTTAAAATTTAATATTTTTATTAGTAGAAATAACAGAAATAATGGCCTAGATGGAATAGTGAGACATTTTATAGGATACTAGATGAAAACACATTTGGACTAACATGGAAACATCATATATTTTCTGTTTACTAAAATATATAATTCTATACAGTCTATAAAAAATCTGCAATTCTATAAAAATATTAAACTTTTTTAATTAGATATATTCTGAATTAAATGAATTTTTATTTAAATCAATCAGATCAAAAATTTAAAAATGTTATTAAGAGCTGCATTTTACTTTTAAATAGTCTGTTAATCAGTTACAGACATATTAAACTTGAAAGATTATGGTAACTCAAATGATAAATGAAACAACACATTTACTGAGGATGATATTTAAAGCGAATCAACAAAAATCATGTTTCGAGACCAATAGCCCTTTTTGGTTAAAAATAATCAGTACACATAAATTATACACAAATTTAAAATAACTGATATTATTCACTAATAATATATAATATAAGAAGTGAATAACTAATATTATTTACTTCTTATATTATATATATTCAAGTAAATGCAATTCAACTCAAATAAGTAATTACAATTATTTTAACATTACCAGCATCTTGAGTCTCTGCAACTCCTTCACAATGCCGATAATTCATAATATACTGTTGATTTTCTATATAAAACTGACTTCCAGGAGTTTGGCAAGCAGTAATATTTGCTTCAGGATGCTTACATTCACCGGTAAATAAGAACTGATTTTGATATGCAAATTTCCATACACCTTCTAAACTAGATCGGCAGTTTTTCAATGTCGGATTCTTTGCTGAAATGAAAACAAACATAAATAATTATGCTCTGAAAAATTAGTACACCATAAAAAAATTATAACTTCGAAAAAAGTACTTACAGAACCATGTAATAAGTTCTTTATTAGGATCTAAAAACTTGCAAACAGACCAAAGTGAAGGTTTGCCTCCTTCAGGATTTATGCAACCAGCTGAAACAAACTTAAATTTTGTATAAAGACAAAAATAACTTAATTTTAAAAAGATTTTTTTGGGGAGGGCAGTTCCTGAGATAGCTACTTTTCTCAATGCACACCAAAAATGCTCAAAGTCATGTTCAAAGTGTAGTGAAGTAATTTAAAACATTATATGTGTTTTTTAAATAAAATTTAAATTCTAATATTCTAAAAATGTTATTTTTCTTGCTTTAACAATAGCAAAAATTTTTATAATATTTTCAATTCAATATTCAAATGCACAGTATAGAAAGTATAGTAAGATTTCACAAACACAAAGCACTCATTTGTAGAATTTCACTAGTTCTTAATCAATTTTTTCCACTAAAGCTACTCGCATTAGTAATAGTACATACGAATCTGAAAATATCTGGTTGTAATGAAAGTTTTCCGCCAAAACACATTCTTAATAAAGTTAGAAAAAAAAAATGAAAGCGGTATCTTTAGAGTGGGTAGTAATAACCACCAAAATCTATGACTTTATGCCAATGTTTTATTATGTTTTCAATTCCTTCAGGTCACAAACTTGGTGGCTGCAAGTCCAAAAACAGATCAATGTTATTTCGGACATCCTGTGCAAAATGGAAGATAGCACCTGCCAGATGTAGCTGCAGGTGAGAAAAAAAGGTAGAAGTCCGAAGGAGCAATGTCGGAACTATATGGTAGGTGTGGCAAAGAATACCATTCAAATCTATTACAAAGTCCAGCCAATGAATGCAGACATATGTAGTCTTGCATTATCTTGATGGAACATTACCTTTTTTGCACTGGAAAACAGTTCGATGTTTTTCCTTGACTGCAGTGTCAACATGAACTAGCATCTTGCTGTACACCTTACTGTCGAGGGTTTTACCATTTTCCAGACACTCTTTGTGGATAATACCATAGCATTCCCACCAGATACAAAGCCAGATCCTTTTGTTAGTCAAATTGCTCTTTGCGACCCTGCCGAAGGGCTCACCGGGTGCAGACCACCACTCTTTTCGGTCTGTGTTGTTAAAGTAAATCCACTTTTCATCACAAGTGGCCATGCATTGATATTCAAGCAGATTAGTGCAGGCTCGAACATATCTGTCCTTATCTGCTGTAGTTAGCTCATGTGGCACCCAAAGACTGAACTTGTACATCAAGTTTATACGATGCACAGCATGACTAATGGACACAGCACTAACGTGTAACTCCTTAACAAGCTCTTGGGTACTTGCATACTAATCTTCTTCCACAAGTTCTCACAGGTGGACCTCATCAACATCAGTAAGCGGCCAGAGTGCTCTGTTTCTTAAATGTCATAGTCCTTGTTTTTGAACTTTCAGTATCAAACTTTCATAGTGTCATATAATACAACATTAGTACCTAAAGCTATACATAAGATTTGGCAACATTCTGTAGCTGGCTTTTCGCAACAGAACTGGAAGTAAATGATGGTTCTTATCTGGTAGCATAATAGTTCCATTTCAGATACCTTGTACTTAATGACAATGATATTTTTTTACAAATTTCACAACACAGTGTTCTAAAGCAAGTCTCTTTCTTTCAAATACCAAACATTGTTTGACAAAATATGATTAAACAAGCCAATGCAAACTGTTTGCACATATTATATTTGTGGAGGCAGGAAACTTTCGCTAAAACTTGATACTTAACTGATTTTCATGAAACTGCTTTAATATACAGTACAAAATATTCAATATATATTACACACTGAATATGCAAATGAATACAAATGAACAAACACAAACAAAGAATAATTTAATCATTTGAATAAACTTTAACATTACTAAACTTTCTTTAAGTTTTCAGAATATATTTTCAAAGCTTTATTTTAAACTCTGTTATTTATTAAGCTCATTAAAAAAAGTGTGCAAACACTAAACACAAAAATAATTAAAATCCACATACTTTCAGTCTTTTCCAAAACATTCAAAGTTCTTACTAATATTCGAATGCAATGATAGCAGGCACTGAAAAAAATATGAAAGGTATATTACTTCAACAAACTGAAACAAATGAAAACTATAGCTCATTAAAGAATATGGTACTTTCTGATTATCCACACACCTTAAAAGTTCATAAAGCAACATGTTATGTCCCGAAAACACACGACTTTAGTAAAATGTATTTATGTGGCTACCCAGGTATGCATGCAATCGCAGCAGACAAGCACTAAATTCCACCAAAGGCACCATTTCCACTCGCAAATTTGATTATCATTAGTGTTTTCTTTTTTTTTTTTTCCCCAACGCATATTTTTTATTACTTATGTGTTAGTGCAATTACCTCAATAGAAGTCACCAAATTCTTAGAATATGGCAAACTCTGGTAACCAACCTGCATAGTAATTCTTCAGGCAATCATGCTCATAACAATTCTTCAGTCAAGCAATATCAATGTTTTCATAAGCACTATTTTTGCTGTATTCCAATGGTTTTTACAGGCAAACTATGATACTTTTTGTCTTCACTCCATTTTAAAATAATGCACTTGTGAAGTTTGCCAGCAATGGAAGAAACTTTGGTAAAATTTCTACAGGACTACAGTACTTTCTGCAAAATAGCTAAAGGGAGCAATTCCTTTGAATCTGCTGTTAACAGGATCACCCTGACTTTTCCACATGAACAAAAGAAATAAAAACCAGCTTGCAAGTAGGTTTATTGATTGAAATGCAGGAAAAATACATATAATTGTGTATTTTAATTCTAATGAATTAAAATATACATGAAATAATATTTATGTACAGTGGAACCTCGAGATACGAGCACCTCTATATACGAGAAATTCGAGATGCAAGGAAAGTATGAGCGAAAAATTTGTCTCTAAATTTGAGCATTGACTCGAGTAACGAGCAATGAGCCAGGCAGTTGGTATGTGGCACCTTTCTCAGATCCGGCTCAGCTCGGGGAATTTCCCCATCAGATCACTCGGTGTTTTTTTATCTATGTGTTTGTGCGTTTGTATGTCAGTTGTTTAGTACATTTAACATGAAAATATTTATTTTACGATGCCTCCCAAGAAGATTGTTGTTCTCAGATAGTACTGCAAAGAAAAATAAGGAAGCCATGACTGTTGAAATTAAGAAAGAAATCATAGATAAACATAAGAGTGGTGTAAGAGTGACGGAATTGGCGAAGACTTAACGGCCTTTCAACATCGAAGATCTGCATTATTCTGGAAAAGCAGGAAGAAATTCAGAAACGTGATGTAATCAAAAGAGTTATCGCTACTTCCAGGCACTGTCCAAAACTCCAAGAACATGTTGAGAAGCTGTTGTTGGTGTAGATTAACAAGAAGCAGTTAAAAGGTCAGTGTCAGAAGCTATCATAAAGGTAAACTAAGGTTATATTATTTACCAGTGTTATTTATTAGAAAATTGATTTTTATGTTGATATTTTGGGGTGCAAAATGGATTAACTGGATTTCCATGGGGAAGTTTGTTTCTAGATATGAGAAATTCAATATACGGGCTCAATGCTGGAACGAATTAAACTCGTATCTCGAGGTTCCACTGTATATAATATTGTGCGCCGAGGTAGTTGTGTTAATACAGTCAAAAGTCATTAATCCGGACTCGTCGGGACTTCGGCAATTCCGGATTATCGATTTTTCCGGATTACAGATCATCAGTTGAAATCTGGTAAGATGGCATGCAGAAATTATAAAATTAAAAATATGAAACCGTAATTTATGAAATAAAGATCAATTATGATCTAAAGGGTATCAAAATTTACAAAAAAAAAAAGCTTAATATTTATTTGTTTACTTTATTAAACATTTCTTTCAATGTAAGTTGTTTCGTTTTTTATGTGATAATACATTCTCTTTAATTCTATAAACAGACATAATTTCTTGTTCAGTTACAAAGTTCTGCTGTTCAACTCCTATAATTGCTGTGTCTACCAACTAATTTGTCAATCGAAATTTTTTCGTTTTCAATAACCTCTGTCACTTTCTTCCCTATCCGAATCGAATTATAATGACGAGGCATTTGATTTAAATCATATCAAAGACAGAGTACATCAATATGCAATACTACATTTAGTAAGCAATTATAAGCCAAATAAAAACATCTGCCCTGAAGATAAGGATAGTGCTGACATATCAACTTCCAATTCATTGCACGCCCGTGCGGCGTTAAAGATAAAGTTTAGATAAACAAAGGATATGCCTTTATCCATTTTTTGCAACAATTCCACTTTTTGTTTAATGGACTCCGAAACATACTTTCGCTTTGTAGATCCTTTACATATTAGTAAACATATATCGGAAATTCTATTTGACATAATCGAAAGTTCAAGCTTACTTTTATAAAATTGCTCTAACAGTCTGCAAAAAATAATAAGCCGGATCCAATTCAAAGATTAAGGAACAACACAATCTGCAACATTAACTGAAATAGATAATTAGATAATTTTAGCTTAGCTTACACCGTCCGTTATACATTAAACGCGCATTCATAAACGTATTTTGCACACGCGCACACGCAAATTCGCAGCCGTAAAGGTCTTAAGCGCATGCGTCAACGCGACGCATGTGCAGAAAGTTTGTAGCTTTGAGGTCCGGATTATAGATCATTCCCTATTATGGGTGTCCAAATTAACGAATTTTGACTGTAATTCATTTGACATGTTCTCCCTCCTTGCTGCATATCTTCATGGTGTACCAATAGCATACTCAGCGCATATTCAAGAGGTTCAGGTTCGCGTCTCGGCAAGGGCATTACACACTTTTCACATCTCATGAAAATAACCTAATGTTTCTACAATCTAAAATATTTTAAAGGAAAAGACTACTTTATTATGTTACATTTGAATAAGGAAAAGTTTTTGCATTGTATAAAATATTAACACTTACTCATTTCTCAGCAGAATAGTGAAATTATCATTATTTGTATTCAATATGTCCACACAACTCCCTCTATCTTGAATAGTTTTTCTATCAACTGTAATGAAATTATTCAAGCCATCTTCCCGTGAGAACCATTCTCCATGAATTGTCTGAGGCAGAGAACATGACTCGTCTCCATAATAGCCAAACACTAAAATAAGACATGTTGAAGAAAAAAATATTTTATCTTGTTTGTAACTAAAATTAGAAAGAAAAAAAAATTATTTTTTTTAACTGATACAGAAATGTTTCAAAATTATTTACCTATTATTACTGCATTTTATTTTATTTATTTTACATTAGGTTACAATATATTATTATGATCAACCTTGACATATAATATGACTCTAATAATTCTGGTTGTAAAAACTTAAGGTCTTGCTACTATATCAGTATTTTGTTATTTATAGGGAAGAACAGAACTTACAAGTACTTTACACTTAATTTCAATGTCACTACATTCTGGTCTTCATTTTCTTAATCCCAGTATGTATTAATCTTGGACAAAATTAAACAAGTGTGGCCAAAAAACCTCATATATGTATCATATTAGAAAATCCTACCATATAATTGATTGAATTTCAAATATTTCATTTAAAATCTACTGTAAAGTCAGAAAAAGATGCCAAAAATTTTAATAGTTATATTATATTGGACTAATTTTGCTTTAATTAGAGCCTGTAACCATCATACAAGTTACTTATCAAAATTGTACATCCATTTTTAAATATCAATGCAGCATACATCAGCATCTGAGAAAATACACCCAAATAACATAATCCACAGAAATGTTTACAGTAATTGAAGAGATATGTACATGAAAATACTCACTATAGTACACATCATAAGCACTGCATAATATTATGCACAGTAACTACAAAATCAATGCTGTACAGTTACCATATACTATAACTGTAAACCATACATAAAACATGAAGTATAAAAACCAGCAGATATCACTCAATTTCTTGCTTTATATAAAAGCATTATTTTTTAATGAAAAATAATACTTATCATTGTATTCTAATAAACTTATTCTTTGGCATTTAGACAAAATAAAAATAGGAGGAAAAGAAACATAAAAATAATTTGCAACATTTAATCTTACTATAGAAATTTATTATCGTGACTAAATTTGTTACTTATGTATTACTGCAACCACCTTGGTGCAGTGTGGCGATTTTTTATAGAAAAAAAAAGAATAATGATGTTCTGACAAAAATATTTATTACTCGCATATGTTAATTACATACATATTTTATATTTTAATTAAATGCTCATCATGAAAATCAATGAATAAATCTACTTACAGACCAGTTTTTCTTTTGTTCTGGTGAATATTTTGTAACTGCTTTAAGAGAAAAAAAGAGTGATGACAATAAAAAATTGGTTAGTTAATATTTTAGGGTTCAATTATCACCAAATTGTTATTTCATTTATCGCCAAATTGCTGTTTCATTTATTCAACCTGAGTATTTTATGTTCAAATTTATGGAAACCCGATTATGACATGATTGGTTATAATGCATGACTGTGGTTAATTTGACTGATGGGAAAATATTTTTAAGGGCTTATTTATGTGTTGGATGTTTGTTAGGAAGTATGTTGCTTATTTTGTGCTTTACACCGTAAAATGCCCGCTGGTGCTATGATTAACCTGAAGTTTCTGTTCACTTTGGAATGACTGGGAAAGGAAAAACTGACTGGTGTGTAAATAAAAATTTAAATAGCTTCATTCACCTCCGGCTAAGTTACGCAGTGAGATTTAAGGATTTTGAAACCAGAGCTCATATCAACACTATGTTAGGTATAAGGGGTATAATAAAAAGGGATTTTTGAAAAAAATGCTACTGACAGTCCGGCAGTATGGAGGATATTTTTCATTTTTAATTTTGCGAATTAATGTGGCAACAGCAGTATACAGATTCTAGTTTAGATAATTTTAAATAGCTTTTCGATGCTGTTAAGGAATTCTGTGTGTCACAGATATTGAAGAAACAGAAATTTTTAAATAAGTCGATATTTCCTTTTTGTACTGTGTGGATTAGATAACATGTACTTCCATTCTTATGTTATTTCCTTGTTTGATTTAAAATGCAGTTTATTGAGATTACATATTTTTTGTTTAAATTATGTTTTACCGTATTATGTTTTGGATGCAACTTTACTGGGTAGGACGTTGTACGTAAACAGGAATGGCGCCAAAAAATCACAAATTTTTGCAGAGGGATAGTCTGAAATATATTTTTACCAAAAAAATTATTTGTTACTCGCATATATTAACTACATATATTTTTATATTTTAATTAAATGTTCATCATGAAAATCAATGAATAAATCTACTTACAGGCCAGCTTTTCTTTTGCTCTGGTGAAAATTTAAGTGCTTTAAGAACAGATTCATAGCATTTGTTCCCTTTAACAATTGTGTGGCTAAGTACTATATTCCTGAAGAAACTGTGGTAAAATTTCTACACCACAATTTCTTCTACTGCAGAGAAATTTGACCAGCATAGATTTAAAGTTAAATTAAAGATGAATAAAATATTAAAATTTTTTATAGTTGCTGAAACTTGAAATGCAACAAAAAAGGCATAAAAAAGCAGTCATTCTGTTTGTCAAAACAAAAGAATTATTACGTGCATGGTAGCTGAAGAACCATGCACATAATAATATGTTGCCAGAATGAAAAATGTATGTTTTCCAGAATTTGTCAAATTGTAAAAATTTGGCAGCTTCTATTATGGTGGTTGCAGTATGGTCTGCTTCATCCTTGGCACCTATGGAGCAAATCACATATGGAGGAAAAATGCACCATCTGTTTCCATCATGACCAGCAGCATATCTGGGAAGTAAGAATTGTTTAACCTTGCAACCATCAAAGGGTTGAAAATATTAAATATTTTTATGGGATTACATTATATATTTTTTTCACTTAAATGTTCTCATGTTGGTCTAAATGCACATTCATCTAGTATCCTCTCGCATGTTTCACTATTCCATCTGGGTGATCTTTCTGGGAAGCATTCTTTGTTTGTTTGTTAATATGCAAGTTTATAATTAGGTGATTAAACAGAATTTGGAAATTACTAGTGTCAGAAAGCTAGTATCCATGTACCGCCAAAAATCGCCAAGTTTCACGAAGGGGTACCCAAAAATATACTTTTACCGAATCCTTTCATATTTTCCTTTTTTTTATATCACTAGCATTTTTTGTTTGTTTGTTTGTTAATATGTAAGTTTATAATTATTAAGTGATTAAACAGAATTTGGAAATTACTAGTGTCAGAAAGCTTCAAAGATATTAGAATTTCATATCTAATTAATAAAATTATGTACAATTTATATTATTTCTAATTATTGATTACAATAATTTTATGTATAAAATTACATATTACACTTCTTAATATCATCTAATTAATGATTTTATTACTTTGAAAACTATCAATTTGCGCAAACCATTTAACAAGTTAATGAGAAAAAAATCAAAAATACGTAATTTAGTTTTTTCTTTTTAATACATCTTTCAATCTAAGGTTGTTCAGTTACCTAATTTCACATTTCATGTAGTTCAATTATGTCAAGAACTATTACGTAATTAAAGGATTTTCAATAATAAATAACATATCCACAGCTATTTGCAGTTAAAAGTAATTCCTCTGAAATATACCTTCAATGCTCCTGGCAAAATATAGAGAAATTATGTATGTATTTTTATACAAAAAGGGAAATTTTAACATGAAAAATTATTTAATATAAATTTTGTGTTTTCTAATTTTTCCTTTTAGCAATTTTGAAAATACGTTCCTATTAACCATAAAGTAATATTTTGTGATTCCCTAATGTAAGTAATGGGTGCGGTCTTATACACTTCTAAAATGCCTTAAAAATAAAACAGTTAATAGTTCTCTGATGACCTACCATTTTGAAAAATCTTATATATTATAAATATTATGAATCATCACTTACCCGCAGATAATAAAACTGCAGATAAAATTGTTAGTAAATACTGCTGAAACACACTTTTATTTACCATTCTCAACGTAAAACGAAAACAAAATTTCGATTACTGTTGCCATCTTCCGAAAACGTTATGGAAAAATATTTCATTTATTTGGTATTCTTGTCATATTAATGTCAAAAATAACATTCCTCATAATTTTTCTGATTAAAAATTCTCTCTAGCTACAAATAAAATTTTTATATGATTTATTTTTCATTCTATTACCAAATAGTGTTAAATAAATTCATACTACTGGAATGAAATCCATACCAAATAATGTAAAATAAATTTCGTTGAGGATTTTCACCGTACAGCAAAAAGACTTAGTAGGTTCAAAATGAGACGTTCGTGTTCTGTTTTGTATTACGTGTTTTTAAATAGTATGGAACTTTAATAGAAAAGATTTTTTGGTTTTAGTAGTAAATTAATATCGATTTTTATATTTTTTCATTATTTATGGAATATACTGCAAGTAATATCAATTTTATTTAAATTGTTCAATTGTACTGTAAAATATTGTGCATTTTTATAGTGTAAAATGAAAATTGAAATCTCAGCGCCCGGCAAAACTGTATTGCATGGCGAACATGCTGTAGTATATGGAAAAGTAAGATAATTTTTTTTGCGTATTTTTGTGCAAAATGTAGATTTTATAGTAGTGTAAGTAGGTTTAAAATTCCTATATTTCGAGATAATATTTTTGCAATTTATGTTTGTTTTATGTGTGTACTGTTCGTATGGATGTACTGTATTTTACAACTCTGATGCGGTAGTTTTAAAATGGGTCCGAATGATTGGAAATTGCGGTTTAATCCTAGTATCCGGTGCACACGGGATTTGGCTACTTTTGGCGACTTTATGATGAGCAGTAAAAACGGGACATATAAGGTGAGTAGTTAACGGGTCATTCAAAGAAAATATACAGTTAAACATAGTATATAGTAAATTTAAACTAATTAAATTTAAATTTTAACAAACACATATAAAAGTAAAAAAGCAAATTTAAAGCCGAAATTAAAAAAAGCAAATTTAAAGCCAAAAAATTATTTAAAAAAATGTGTAAACATATAAAAGATTTAATTTTCGAACTAATCTACAATATCATTTAAATTCAGAAGCATAAGCAAATAAAGTGCAAAACCAATCCATGAAAAATTAATTTGGTTGATCTTTACAATATGGTAACTGGTTGTTTGGCGACATTTTGGAGGCGATAAAGGTTATTACCTGGCACTTTGGTAATAATGTGAGCAGTACTCAGTTCCGATTACGCATTATTTTGTGTGAGGGAAATGAGAGATCATGGGATATGTCATGTGATATTAATGGACGAATTACGGTTCTTTAATCGGAAAAGGGGGGAAATCGGGAAAAAATCTGGAAATTTTGTATTTGGCTTTATTCTGTGTTGTGTGAAACAGTGTTTCTGAATTTTTGGATCCCATGGCCGTAACTAAAGTGAATTCGAAATGGGTATTTGTGTATGTATTAATTTAATGTATGTGCTCATTTATAATTTAAGTAGTGTTTTTGAATTTAATTATATTTTAATTAAATGATAGTTATTTTGTGAATTTTATGTTTGTAGGAATTTGGTATACGTTTTAGTTGAAGTAAACGTGCATGGAAATAATTTAAATATCTGACACTAAGTATTTGTAATGGTTGCGGTATGAATTCGTTGGTGACGTGTATAATGTAACAGATGATTTAGAGGTAAAAGTTTTTGGATATTTTATTTATTTTATATGTGGAAATGTTCATTACTTTTTCGCGATCAGGTAATTTCATATATGTTTTTTTTACCGGGTTTAAAGATTGAGAAAATTGTCATGTATTTTCGTGAAATTTTTCTAATTTATGAGAAAAAAGCAGTGTACATGGATATAGTGAAGAGTGTGCGCAATGCCATTTTTGTGCAATTCTGGAATGTTTTTTTAAGTAAAAATAAGTCGGCGTGTACATGGTTTAGTGATATTTTTAATTAAATGAAGTTATTTTGTGAATTTTATGTTTGTAGGAATTTGGTATATGTTTTAAGTTGAAGTAAACGTGCATGGAAATAATTTAAATATTTGATACTAAGTATTTGTAATGCTTGCGGTATAAATTCGTTGGTGACGTGTATAATTTAATAGATGATTTAGAGGTAAAAGTTTTTGGATATTTTATTTATTTTATATGTGGAAATGTTCATATTTGGAAAGGGTAAATACTTTTTCGCGATCAGGTAATTTCATATATGTTCTTTTTACCGGGTTTAAAGATTCAGAAAATTGTCATGCATTTTCGTTAAATTTTTCTAATTTATGAGAAAAAAGCAGTGTACATGGATATAGTGAAGAGTGTGCGCAATGCCATTTTTGTGCAATTCTGGGATGTTTTTTTTAAGTAAAAATAAGTCGCGTGTACATGGTTTATGTGTATGTGTTATTTTGAAAAACGCGTAAGGAGTATGGTATTGTGCACTTTTTCCCAATTTTGCAGTGAATATTTGTCATGATTAAGCAGTTTTGTTAGATAAAATTTCTAGCATAAGTGTAATTCGGCTAGTAGATTGTTGGAAGAAGTGTTCAGTAGATAAAAAGAAAAGAAACATGTCTTTACTTCGTGAAGACAAAATGGCGGCGGGAAAAAAAAATAGAGGGTTGGTGTAGGAGAGTTGGTCGCCAAATTTTCGCCAAAAAAAAACGCCAAGTTACCATAATGTAAAGATCAACCATTAATTTATTTATTTAAATTAATTTATTTAATTAAATTCAATTTTTTCGTATGTATATAGTATATATACTATGTGTGTATAATATATAGTATCTAGACGTTCTTTGGATCATTTTTGGTGTTGGCGATAATTTTCAAAGTCGCGCCAAGGCTGCACCGTATACTAGGATTTTACCGAAATTGCCCTGCTTTTAACAATTTCATTCATAAAATAACATTTATTCTGAAAGTTATGAATTCATATGGTATAGATATATTGGCTTAATCTTCATGTAAGAAATTTCGGTGAATCTTTAGATTATGGTAACTTGGCGATATTTGGCGAAACTTTGGTGATTAACCCTGCTACAGCAGCAACCTGCTAGTTTTGTTTTGAACGCCATTTTGTTTTCACGAAGTAAATGCTTTTTTTTTTTTTACTCAACATTTTTTCCAACAATCTGCTAGCCGAATTACGCTTATACTAGAACTTTTATGGAACAAAAATGCGAAATCATGACGAAGATTAGGTGCGAAATTGGGAGATAGTGAGAAAGAATAGCAAACTGCTTGCCGCGTATTTAAGAATTGCACATACACAGTATCCATGTACACGTCGACCTATTTTCACTTAAAAAACATCCCAGAATCGCACAAAAATGGCATTGCGCACACACTTGACTTTATCTATGTACACATCGACCTATTTTCACTTAAAAAGTCAAAGAAAATTGACAAAAATCCAATTCTTCTTACTCTTGTAAAAAGCGCCAAACAAATAAGTGGGCGATCCTGCACTTTAGCAGCAAAATTGTTTCTAAGTATTATTAGCTAAAATCAATCACGACCGGAATTTTCCGGAAAATTCACGTACATGTCTCATGATCTTTCATTTCTCTGAGACAAAAATAATCTGTGATTCGAACTGTGTAATTCTCAGATTATTGCTAAAGTCCTACCTAGTAACCTTTATCGCCTTACCAAAATGTCGCCAAACTACCTGTTACCATATTCTAAAGATTAGCCGAAATTTCATTTATGATTTGAAAAATTTTACCTCTTGCTGAAATATGAATATTTAATTTGGATTCACAAATGTCATTATGATTTGAAATTTCATTTATGATTTGAAAAATTTTATCTCTTGCTGAAATATGAATATTTAATTCGGATTCACAAATGTCTTGTAGCTAATAGAATGATCCAACTATTATATAGTAGTCTAACTTTTATAGCATTAATATTGATAGTGTGAAATGTTAATAGCTTGTGAATTTCAAAAGTCAAAATAAATTAACTTATATCTATATAACAAAAAAAAAAAAAATAATTGTAATAAAACACCTACAGTATCTTTAATCAGAATTATTCAGTTACGACAAACACTTTGTGGCCGAATTCAGTAAAGTTTCTCGCCATTCAGTAAAGTTTGACATGCTGTTACTATGCAACTAGTATTAATTTTCAGATTTCAAAAGTAGGTATTTTTGCCATACACTTGTAATGTGTAATAATTACGTCATAATAGGGTTTCCATAACGTTCAAGTACTCAGGTTACCATAAATGATACAACAACTTGGTGAAAAACGAAACAACAACTTGGCGATAAATGAAACAACAACTTTGTGATAATACAAGGGGTACCTTAAAGTCAACTCTACCCAAAAACAAAAATCAGGAGAAAACAATATCATATATAATGTTAAAACAAGATTACTCATCACCAAAATTGAACAAAATTTGTAGCCAACCGAAGCTTAACAAACTGCATTTTAAATCACACAAGGACATAACATAAAAAAGGAAATGCATGTTATCACATATACGCAGTATAAAAAGGAAATATTGATTAACTATATTTAGAAATTTCTGTGTCTTCAGTCTGTGACATACAAAATTCCTTAACAACATCCAAAAACTATCTAAAATTATCTGAACTAGAGTATGCATACTGCCATCACCGCATAAATTCACAAAAATAAGAGTAAAAAAAATATCCTCTGTAGTGCATGACTGTTGGTGATGTTTCTTGCATGAACCTTTCTTGTGACAAACCCCCTTCAAAGCCGTTTGAACAATCTTTACGTTCGACCGTACACATTTTGTTTGTACAAATAGGACACTTATATTGACTTATAATAGGTAAAAATATATTTACAGGTGCTCTTTGGCAATACATGGATACCGAGTTTGTACGATTCTTTAACGTGTTATTTGTGCAAGACAAAATAACAAGTCAAAGAACGCATTTCCTTCCTAAAAACTCGGTATCCATGTACACATCGACCTATTTTCCCATTTAAAAAAATCAGAGAATTGCACAAACTGGCATCCCGTGACTTTGTTCATGTATATATTGATCTATTTTCACTTAAAAGTCGAAGGAGCATCCAATTCTACAGTAGAACCAAACAAAAAAAATACATAATGTCAATAAACTATGTTTTAAATCAAACAATAAAATAACATAAAAAAGGAAATTCATCATATGTATCTAAGCACTAAGAAATTTCTGAGTCCTTCAGTCTATGGCACACAAAATTTCTTAACAGCATCCAAAAACTTCCTAAAATTATCTGAACTAGAATCCGTATATTGGCGTCATCACATAAATTCACAAAAATAAGAGTCAAAAATATATTCCGTAGTGCCGCTATCCTCTGATGTTCAACCATATGCATACAAACAGGACACTTATAATGGCTACTAAGTAAACCTTCATTTACACACCAGTCAATTAATGCATTTTTCCCCTTTCGTTCTAAATCGTACAGAAACTTCAAATTAATCTTACCACATTCAACCATTCTACCATCTAAACCACAAAACAAGCAATGTACTTCCTAACCAACACACACTACAAACCCTTGCAAATCTTTTTTGTGTCATTCAAAATTTATGGCAATCAGGCAGCCGATTACGTCATAATTGGGTTTCCATTACATTCAATTACTCAAGTTACCATATATTAAACAACAACTTGGCGATAAATAAAACAGCTTTGCGATAATACAAGGGGCACCCTTCAATCTACTCTAATGCTTATAATATTATAACCTTCATTTACACACCAGTCAATTAATGCTTTTTCCCTTCCCCCTTTCATTCCAAATCATATAGAAACTTCACATTAATCTCATTACATACAGCCATTTTACAGTGTACATCATAAAATAAGCAATGTACTTTCAACTGACATCCAGTGCAGAAATAAGCCCTTACAAATATTTTCCCATCTATTATTGCATGATTGCAGTGAATTCAGTCAAATTCACTGCAATCACGCAACCAATAACATCGTAATAGGGTTTCCATAACATTCAACTACTCAGGTTACCATGATGAAACAACAACTTGGTGATAATACAAGGGCCACCCTAAAATATAGACTAACCAGTTTTTTTTTTTTTTTTTATTTTTATTTATTTTATTCACAAAACTGACAATAAGTTGGTGACCTTTTTTTCAGTATAATGTTAAAAATTTTTATAATGAATAATAAGCAGTATGTATTATTGAATGAGAAATGACAACTAACTTGTTAGTAAGGTATAATATTTTTGACATGTGCTTTTTACTTGTATGTAGCTGAGCATTTTATGTATTTTTATGAGTTTATCAATTTATTTCTTAATTCCATGAGAATTTTTATAATAACAAGTCTCCCTATTATAAACATATTTGGTACTTTTCCGTTATGAATACCTGCCTAGCATTTTGGCATATGTGCATGCATGTGTGTGTGATTGATGCAAAAACAGTGTTTGTGCTTGTTTTTATTTATTTATTTACTAGCGCACACCCTGCGGCTTCGCTCACATTTATGTCTTAAATAAATTTCAACTACCTGTGAATTTTAAAAATACGCTCCTTGTAAGATTTCAGTAAATACTGCCCTTCAATACCTATATGCCACGGATATTTTGTATTTACGCCTGACCAAAGGGTTATTTTTAAAAATAAAAAATAATCAAATGCCTTAAAATGATAAAACAATAATTGTTATCGCACACAGTAAAATGTAAAAAATATAAAATGTAAATGCAATTTTTCAAGCAACAATAACAGAAATATATAAAACGAATGTATAGATCTTTAAAAAAAATACGAAACAAAACATTAAATATATCACAAAAGTCGAAATGTTGATAATAGTTTCAAGTAAGTTAATTAGAAATCAAGTTATTAATTTTTAAATGATTTTCAGCATGTAAATCCATGAACTTTGACCTTTTCGTCAACCCAACAGTCAACCGAATGCCAGCTACCCCTTCCCTTCTGTCGCTTTCGAATGGCAGCCTGTCAACAAAGAGTTAACAATAGCAAGCAGAGTATTGTTTCATCTGCGATTAAGCTCGAAATAATTAAGCGATAAAAACAGGGTACTTTTCCGTTTACCCGGCGCAAATCTCGCCAAGCAGACTTTATTGGCGACAACACACAGTATACACATAAAAAATTTTAACAAATGTTAGTTCTAAGAAATTTTTATTTTGAAGGCATAAACATTTTAATATCGTTTAAAGTTTTGTAAAAAGACAATAAATAAAAGACAATAAATTTGTAAAAAGACATTAAGAATTTATTATGCTTTCGTGGTACTGCATCCTGATTCGCCGTTTCATATCACGTGACCCAAAGTTATCTCGTCACGCGTAAACCATGTTACAAAAATCTAATTCTCTCAGTAATTATCTACATTCTTAATTTGAAATATAAGTTTAAATGCAAGAATTATTTCAATTCGTACGAATAGCTTACTCAGAAATTATGTGAAACCGCAGTGCTTTACTTCGCTAGTGCATTCTCATTAGAATTGATGAATTTAACCCTTGACTTTGCCTTTTCTATATTTTCACCTTTGAGAGAGCGGTGTTATTGCATCCTAATTGACTTAATTACTGCGAATGGCCTTATGGCATAAAACTGAATTATCTGGTACAAATTCTATGTAATTGTATACTAGTATTGAAAGAAACAATCAATATGATAAGAAATGGCTGCGACTTGTTTAGAAAATAAAACGTAAAAGGTTACCAGCGAGAAAATTCCGTTTGGCATCGGTTGTACCATTTTTGGCGACTTTTACGCTTGCGCCGACAAAATGGAAAAGTACCAAAAACAGTTTTACCACCAATGTTCCTATCATTCAGAGTGCAACACAAGTTTCTAAATTTTGAGAAATTTGGATAATTAGATCAAACGTTATAATTTTTATCACCAATTTATTGGACCCACACGGGAAGACCTAAGAAAAAATCTCTAATGTTGTTTATCGAGTCTCGTTCAAATTAGCATTTTCAGAGTTTTTAATTAATGTTTCAGCTGAAGTCGTACAAAAATGAAAATGGTATTGATTGATTCCGACAAATTTTTGGAATCGATGATTATGCGTCTCGACATTTAACTAACCGCTGTTCCATAGATATTTGCAAAAAAATTAATTGCCACGTAGCCAAATTCCTTTAATAGGAAAAAACCCAACAAAGTAAGTGAAAAATGTAGGGGAAACATAGTTTTTAATTAATATCTCAACTAATTAAAGTCGTACAAAGACATTTTATAGCCTATAACCTTTTCTAATATATCAAAAATATTTCTTGAAAATTTCATGATGATCAGTTAAGTAATTAAGGCGTGAAATCATAGCAAACAAGCACACCAACAAACTCATGTTCGCATTTATAATATTAGTAAGGATTCACACTCGCATGCTAAAATATGTGGCGGGAACATGACGAAGTAATACCAAATGTTTAATATTTATTTCAAAATCCAACAATTTTTTTTTTATCTATCAATTTTATATCCGACATATAATGTGCACCCATAAATTTCAATCTTATTCTTTGTATAAAAAGTGCATGTTATAGGCCTTAATATATGGTAAATAAAATAATAAATAATAATTGTCAGTTTTTCATTTTGCTAATTTTACTGTGAAATAATGTAATTTTTGTGATATATTTTGTTTTATGAAATTTCCATATCACTAAACAAAATTGCATTGCTCTTGATAGATCTATTCACTTTGTTGTTTTATATTAAATTTTTATTCCTATGATATCTTTATTCTTCAGATACCTTATCATCATGCTTAGTCTCTAGTACCTTACTTGGTCATTGTGAAAAAATTATACTTTCTACTATGAAAAAAAAATTTGCTTTATTTTAAAGCATGATCAATATTTCCATAGGCTGCTGTTGCAGTTAGCATCAGTCTTCGAACATATCTGATACTGGATTCTCATGATGAAGACAAAGTACTTCTTACCCTAAAAAACTTGAATGTGCAGAAGGAATGGGACTTGAATGACCTTAATAATTTCTCGCATTTTAATGCAGGTATAAAACTTTAACATAAAGATTTAAATATTAAAATTTTATATAATATATAATGATTTTTACATGAACAATATCAGTATTTTAAAGTAATAATTTATGCCAAATGTACTCCATCTGGTGAAATGACAATAGACACTGCTTATAAGGATTCTGTTTGTAAATGCCGTTTTATCAAGTTATAAATGGTTAATTTTATAAGCAAAATTTAAATATTATTATATTATATATAGTTATGAACATTATTATGCTATGGAATACATATTCTAATACAGAATGTTCATGTAATCACTTTTAAACATCATAAAAAACTTCAAATAGAAAATAGTTAAATTGTACTAGATTTGACTTATCTTCTTGTTTGAATTTAAGAAAGAAACTGAAAAGTATGGACATGTTAGAAATAAACTGGTCTAATAAAAATGAATGAGTTATTCAAATAATTTTACATATAAAAAATTATATATTCAGGTAATTTGACATATGTTATTTGGAAAAGTGAAAGAGTGGAAAAGTCTTCAAAATTGATCGGACGTATTGTAACTTTCTGAAGACTATTTACACCTCTCTGTATTTCATAGTAATACGCTATGCCTCCTTTTTTTTTAACCTGAGCGATTTTTTTTCCTTTACTGCTTTCCTCAATTTTTTTTTAAAGAAAATTGAATATTTTTATCATCTGTTATACTTATTAAAATGAGTACTTATGTACGAGGGCAATCCCAAAAAAAAGGTCTCCTAGATTTTTAGATATACAAAGAACCTTTTATTTTCTATAATTGCTACATCACTTTAAAGATTGCAGAATGCTTTATTTTTCAACATAATCGCCATTTCAGTCGATGCATTTTTGTAGACGCAGTGGCAGTTTTACAATGCTCATGTCATACCAGCTTGCCGCCATGCCCTTCGGGAAGCATTGAGGAGCTTCAGGAGCATCCAGATGATCCTCCGATCTTTACGCATTTTATGAACTCAACAATCGCGAAACTCAACCTCAACTTTCGCAATTGTCTCGTCGGCAATTGACGGCCTCCCGCTCCTTTCTTCGTCATGAATTTCAGTACAACCGGCTGTCAACTCTCTACACCACTTGCGAACGTTTTTGACATCCATGCACAACTGTCCATACACTTCTGTCAATAGGCGGTGAATTTCAACCGGTTTAATGCCTTTTGCATTCAAAAATTGAATAACTGGGCGCACTTCGCACTTGGCGGTAACGTTTATCGGGAGCTCCATTTCGAATGGCTGCCAAGCCAAGACTGAGCATCCGAGCGAAGCGCCTGCGTGTTTATGTGGTAGCGGAGAAGGCACCACTCACAAAAGTGTTGCCAACAACCGTATTAAAACTTTCTCTACGTCCCCAAAAAATAGGAGACCTTTTTTTTTGAGATTGCCCTCGTATTTTCCTATCAATCATTTTTGACAAATAAAAGCTGTTACAAAGTAGTGCAATTTAGCATCTGTAATGGATAAGCAGGACACTGCAACACATTCACAAAATCTTTACTTTGATTTTAAGCAACTATAATCCTCAGTAAGCCAGATTGTTGTTGTTGTTTTTAGAAGAAGAAGAAGATTATATTCTATTCCTGAGTTTTTCTTTAATATTTATTTTAAATAATTGTAACCAATCGCTTAACATAAACTGTTATACTAACTGTGACAACAAGGCTGCCCTCTGGTAAGTAGCCAGAGAAGTACTTCAGTAAAAGCCAAGCATCCCACTTGATAGGTTGTATCAGACCTATCTTGCTGTGTAATATTCTTAAAGTTAAATGTAATGTTCATGTGTAACTTAAACCTGTTAATAAATATTTGTTACACTATACAGGACTCTTCTATGTCCCTATCTAAGACGACCCACACATAATTAAATTTGGGGCTGCTTTCTGTAAAAATACAAGCAGTGGAATATCTTCAGAGTTACAGGACTGCCTATATTTGTTTTGATACTAAAAACATTGAAAGACTGCAGTTTGTCGAAATGGAATTTAAAAAAAAAAAATAATAAATAAATAAAAAAAAAAAAAAAAAAGACATTGCAAAGCTGTGACCTTAATGCTTTAGGGAATTGATATAGCACCAAATTTATTAAGGTGGAAATTTTGTTGCTATTTTATATGCTGCTAGTTTAAATTAATTTATAAGATAAACTCAAAGGGGCACACAAGGAGAGGTGAAAGGATTATTTGTGTTACGGCAAAGCATACAGAGAAGTGGACCTTCATAGAGGGCTTTTCAAGAACTGGCTTGTATCCATGTTATGACTTAGGACCAAGGGAAACCCCATGAAGTCAGCCGATTCGCCAGGATGTGAGCCCAGGTAGAACAATAAATGTTCAGTGACTTTACTTCACAGCCGCTGGTAGGCCAAGATAATCTTAAAGCTTGAGCTGATATTTATTTAAAATTTTTATACCATAACTTATATCCATAACTTTTATCTGTTAATTATCAAACAAAGTCTCAGTTCATAGAGTCTTTAAAAGTCCTTAGATTTTTTTTGGAAATGATTTTTTTCCTTAAAAGTTTTCTCTTGAGAATTCACTTTGTGCTCTTTTCTGAACTTTTTTCTCTCCTAAAAGTCATCTAGCTTTTTGCTTTTACAGAGTTTGTAGGGATTTTAGATCTAGCATCTCAGAAGGTTTAAAAGGACTTAAAGACAAGATTTATAGACCTGCAATTCCAGAAAAATGTGATGGAATGAAAAATGTTTTTATGGTATTAATTTGTAATGGATGTGTTTCATAGCAAATTTGTGATGAATTTCTTAGCTTTTGAAGAATTTTTGGAAGAGCAGTGAAAGCAAAATTATTTGAATCTTTTTTTTTTTTTTTTTTTTTTTCATCCCAAAAGTCTTTCTCTTAACATGTTTATCTTCTTTTTATTTTCTTATCTTTTCACTAAGCACAAGCATTGAAGCAAGGAAAGAAACTGTAAACCAACAATTTATTAAAAAATTCATTTTATATGTCTCAGTACAACATACATATTTCCTTAATTCTAAAATTTTTGCCATCCCTAGATTTTGTTGCTCAGTGCTTTACTAAATTCTAAAAATTCTGACATCGGCTTTGACATTATATCATTTCAAATTTCTTCTCAATACTCATAATATAACAGTTTCTTTTACACATTCTAAGTACAAGCAGTTCTTTAGAATAACAAAAGTTTTTAATTAAATTAGAAATTTCTAAAATGAAGAGGAAATTCATTGAAAAAGAAATTGGTTTTATAAAGAGCGAGAAAATTATTCTTCAAAGTTTGATTGTTGAAACATTAACAGATTAGGAGATGAAGCAGTGGGAACATTGTCTTATTTATTGAACTAAATAAACTTAGAAAAGGAAATTGATGTAAATTAGCTAAACTGTCTGGAAAAGTTTCAAATTGAAAAGACAAATCGATATTTTGTTCTTTGTTGTTGCTACAAAACATAAATGTTTCATAGCTTTTAATGTTCATAGTTTCATACGAATATATTTTAGAATCAATATCATAAATTATAACTGCAGTAAAATATTCTTTGTACTTTTTTAATGGGTATTTTATAGAAATGAAAAAATGTAATTTTAACCATGTAAATCTATTATGATTAAGGATATTTAGCTATGTAATTAAATTATTTGTAACTGCTTTTTATCCTTAAAAAGTTATCTCTACATGTTAAGGTTAGTTATTGTCTTTTATTAACCCTTATTGTGGATGTAAAATACAACACAAAAATCTAAAAATTAACATAAAACTTTATTCCTTACATCTAATGAGACTTCAAATAATACAAAAAAACCTGTCACTTATGGTGCTTCAATGGCTTATTGTAACTTCATATTAAATACTGTCTATTAATTGGGTTACAACTCCAGCAAATCTACATGAAATCATGACACTAACTGGGTCAGACAAATTGCAGCTAACTTTCAACACTAACCATCTGTATCAATGTCAGACCATCTGTATCAATGTCAGACATCTCTCCTGTTGAGTGACTTTCTGTTTTTAAGTAAGCAGCTGGAGGCAACAACCAAGTTTCTGTTATGAGTCATGGTGATTATTATTTTATTTCTCAATTTAACTTATGCTAGACTTAAAATGTGCATAAACCTTTTGACTGAGCGAGTACATGATAAAAGGAAGCTTAAAAGAAAGACTTGGTATAAAGGTAACTTAGTGAAATTTAAATAAAAAGTCACTAATCTTTAATATATATGGGGCTTCACTAATCTTTAAAATATATGGGGCTGTTATAAGTGTAAAATATAAATATTTCAAGAAATTTTGTAATTTAATGCTAATTACTTGAAAGAAATTATGAAGTTGATTTTATTCTTGAAGTTTTATTATTCAGTTAAATATTAGATTAGGTTTAAAAGTAATGTATCCTACTTGCCAGATTTATTACAAATTACAAAAATTAAAAAATTCTTACAAATTACAAAAGTGGTATTAAAAAAGTGAAGTTTGGGTATAGATAATAGCTCTAGTTTATTCAGTTTATATTTGTTGATAGGTCCTTAATTTTCATTGATGTTCCTTAGAAGTGCTTAAAAGTACTTAATTTACATGTGCAGAAATGTATACGAACCCTGTAAATAAAGAGTGACTTGTGATTATCTAAATAGAAAAAAAAAAAGTGTACTATGCCTTCACATTTTCCCCAGATAGTTGACTTAAGATTGATGGGATCTTCAAAAACTTTCACTGTCCACAGGAAAATATGTAAGTACCTTAAAATGTTGTTGAAAGTGAAAGATACTGATACGATGTCTGTAGTTCAGAATTATGTCATCAAATTTAATTTTTGCTAAACAGTCATACTATACAGTAATAGGGTCTGTAAGTTATTGCTCAAATTTTGTAAATTCATCAGCAACTAATATTTAGCCAGCTAATGTGCAAAAAGCAACAGGCATTTTCAAAATTACTATGCACTGAGAATTTTATACAAAAGCATCAATCAATAGAATTTAAAAAATGAGAAGCATCGGTAAAAAATACCTTTCTCTAGAAATCCATCTCTTTTATGCTTTTGGTCTCCCTGTGTACACAGTGATCTGTGTTTACTTGAAAGAATTACACAGTCTTAGCTCCATACAGCTCTGCATTGCATAGCAGTCAAAAGAGACATATACTGTATATATGCTGGGATTGCTGCATAAATACCTTTTTTATCAATATCATGGTCGATTATTGTCATGTAGCTATTTTGTTAACATACTGCTTTGCCTTATGAAGGCTTTTTCTTGAGTTCTGTTCTCTAAAGAGGGAAAATTAGCATTATAAAATTTTACATGTTGATTTTAAAAAATTCTGTGCTATATTGTGTGAATTTTTGTCTTGTATATTCTTCACATATATGTTTAGAAAAATAATTTATTATTTTTGATATTATACTTAACTTTTCTTATTAAAACTAACTGTAATAAAGCACTAATTATAATAATTTACTATAACAATTTGATCAATTGTTCAAATTATTAATACCTTGAGTTTGCAACTGAAATGAATGTGCGCCTACAAAAATATCATACAAAACCATATGCCGCAATATGTGTTATGACATAAGACCTCATAAGGTAAAGAACTATTTGGGGAAAAAAGAAAATCATTAATTTTCTACTTTGTATTTAGGTGAACTTTCAAAATTTGATTCTTAAATGCAGAAAATATTCAAATAGTCATAAGTAGCCCTTATCTAGACAATTCTTAAATGAAATCTTAAAATATATCTTCAGCAATCCCTTGCAGAATGTAACTTTGCATATACTCTTTATCTTAATTGTTCCATTTAATTTACTTAATACAAGAATTTTAGTTACACATAATATACTGAAGGGCATCAGCCATATTGCGTTAGTCCTTTTCAATGACTGGTTTGAAAATTCATTTATTAAAGAAGTCAAACATTGCTTAGAACAATAAAACCTGAAATTTAAATTTCTCTTAATTCTAAATAATGCTTTAGGACACAGTGCTGAAACCCTCACAACAATGCATCCAAATGTAGAGATTTATTTCATTCTACCAAATACCACTTTTTTAATCTAGATAATGGATGAAGAAATCTTAAAAGCATTGAAAGCCTATTATTATATGTCAAGCATGTTTACATTTCTGAAGACACACTAATGGCATTTTGAAGGCAAATCATGCATGCTTTCTTAATATGAACTACATCTTTTCCCTCCCCCCATATAAAGTTAATATTTGCAGAGCGTGATTTTGCCTTACATGCATGATAACCTAACGGCAAGGGACAGCAAAGAAAAGGTTTACTGTGAAAAAAGAAACTGTCAGAAAGGGTTTACTGTATATAACTATTAATACTATTTGAACAGAATAACTTCTAGATTTTTTGTAGACATTTAAAAAAATAATTATAGGTGGTGATATCATGCAAGCTGATGAAGAAAGTATAAAACATATTACCGATGCTTTTGAATTAAATTCGTCAACAACTGAAAATGAATCCGAGAAGCTGGCTATCATCACATTTTTATTTCTGTGTATTCACATATCTAAATGCTACAATGCTGGGTAAGTAAATTTATTGTATCCTTATTATTATTATATTTTAACTTTTGTGTTGGAACTAGAACTGGCAAGTTTCTGCCAAAATGATTAAAAAACATTTGTTAAAATTGGCAGCACTTAAATTACTTCCCAGTGTAAAACTGACAATAATTAGCTGTAGTTCATAAAATAGTTAAAAATCTATTGATGTGCCGTGTATAATATAGGAGGATGTATTTTAAAATACAGCAGTTGCAAGTTCAACTGCATATTTACAATATTTTCTTCAAAAGTTATTTAGCAACAATTTCACATTTCATAGGGTGCAGTTTGCAGCAGCAGATTAATTTTATTATTGTTTAAAAAACTAAAAAAAAAAAAAAAAAATTATTAAAGAAATGAAATACTGCTCAACAATGCTTGCAGGCAGTAGGGCTGCAAAAAGGTAGCCCATTTTTGTAATTTAAAAAAGAAAAAAAGAAATCTAAACAGTTTTTGTTTTAAAAAAATGCCAAATTTAAAAAAAAAAAAAAAAAAACACTGATCTTTTGTCGGATTTTTATTTTTACTCCTTATTAAAAAAAAAAAAAAAGCAACTGTTAGCAGTATGTATGGCAGTGGTCCAAAACTGAAAGCTTCAAATGTAATTTTACAAGATCTGTGAATACAGTTTCCATAAATTAATTATAATTATTATGACATAAATTAAGACAAGAGCATAAAGCTTAAGATTTTAATGATCTGAAGTTTAATTTTACATTATTTTCATCACCAAAATTGAATGTGAGTAATAATGTCCCAGAAAATCTACAAGTAGAGCTAATTAATTTACACTGACATAATTCTTATTCAAAGATTTGAAGATACAGATCTGATTAGCTTTTATTCATACTTGTCAAAAGATATATACCCTCAGCTATGAATTTTTCAGTAAGAATTATCATTTGTTTGGCAATACATTTATTTTATGTGACTAGTTTTTTTAGCCCAAAGGAGTAATTTGTCCAGAAGGGCTATTAATTTCATTTTGGCATTTTGTGTTGATTCACTGTAAACAGCTAATGAGCTTTTAAATTGTTACCACCAAATATTATTGCTCTGTATTAGATTTAAAGAAATTAAATAATGAAGAATCTGAATAAATGTATGTATGTTTCTTGCATTGTGATGAAACAATGGTACCTAGAGCCATCTAATATTGAATAACGTAAATCTCCACCTGAATATGGGCATCTGAAAGCCCAAATTTGGAATTTGTTTTATTATCTATTTCATATTTTGTAAAGCATTTGTGAGTTTTTGATTAACAAACTCAACGATTTCAAAGCAAGCAATGGCAAAACTACAGAATCCCATTGCTTGCTTCTGACTGTGTATTGGAAATTCTAAAGATATGCTCTTTTAAATATTTTGTCATATTGCTGTTGAATTGAATTTTATGGTTTAAGAGCAAAGAACATAATATTTAATAAATAACGGTAACACAAAAAATGTTTAAAAAATGCCCATTTGGGCATAATATAAAATCTGAATGTTTTCGGATATTTTTCCCTCCCCCCTCCCTGAAAATTAATAAGAAATAAACCAGACTCGTGACCAATGAGCATTTACAATTTGTGAAGAAGATAGTTTCTAGTAAGAAGTAGTTTTCTTTAAGGTTACAAACTTTATCAAATCAAAATGCTGTGATATGTTGCAGCTGAAAGTTGTAGTAAGAAATAAAGAAATTTATAATTATTTTACATGCAAATATATGAATTTTATCTTTATGTATTGAAGAAAAATTTAATAAATAAAAGAGAATAGAGTGTAAATATTTATTCTCAAGTTTTGCCTCACTTGGGAAGTTTTGTAAATTATTTAAGCTGATAATTAATTATTTAGCAGTTAATTCAGTATTTTACAATTATTTGAAATGAATATTAGTGTAAAAATTTAATATTTAGCTATCAGTAAATTTAAATTATAAAGTGTACCTAACAGAAACTTCTTACAGATACCAACCTTCAGATTTCGGGTAGGTTTTTCTTTTGCATCATTATTATTGCTGTTTATTTATGTTTTGATAAATATTCAGTAAATAAAATTTTTAATTTAGTTAGAAACATTTTATGTCATTAAAATAATTTCTGCCCCATGAGCTGCTTTCAGATCATGCATGTGGCTTGCATGCAATTTGAGTCTGTACCCAGTGTATGGTACTTAATAAATGTGTTATTAAAGATGAAAATTAATGTTATATATGCACTTCAAAATCATATTGTCAAATGTAATTTTTACTAAGCACAATAATCATACAATGAATAAGTTATTGCTGATATGTGAAGTTCTTTTAAGTTGTAGGAAGCAAAATTTAATGTATGATGTGTCTGTAAATCATAAATTTTCTTTCCATGAAAATTCACCAAAATATGGGCATAATAAGAGCATTAAAATGTCTCTTATATGGCTGTTTATAATATTATATTTTCCACTATATGTAGTAAAAAAAAAAAAAGAAAAGAAAGAAAAAAAAAAGAAAGAAAAAGAAAAACAAAAGAAATACATGTTCTAAATTCCTTGTACTCTTCTAATATCGAGACCAGATTCAGAAATATATGTATGTAAGCATGTATGCACATATACGTGTGCTTATATGTGCATACACACATACATTCGTACATACATATAATATATGCATACATGAACACATGCATCTGTACATACATATCTCAGTTTGGTCCTAATAGCAGAACAGTACCAAATTCCCCCCCCCCTTTTCTTAATAGAAACAAATCATTTTCTTAAAATTGGGATACATAAGAAATGGTAAAATGTTCATGTAGAGTATCTTCCTTTTACATTTGCAGAACAGTAGTTTAACGTTTTGCATATTTCTTTATGCCCCTCTTTCCATTTGAATATTCTGTTACAGAAGTTCTCAACTAGAGGAAAATGCCCCCATAGAGGAGACTTTCGTAGTTTTGGGGTGGGGAATGTGGTGAACCTTTTATTTACCTGTTCAATATTTAGTTTTAGTTTATGAATGTAAAAAATGACTTTTTTTCCAAGTTTTGGTATTTATCAGCATTTTTTTATTTTTTCATGTTTAATTTGTAAAACACATTAAAAAGTAATTGAAATTTAAATGAATATATATGTATTTTTTTAATTTTGGAAAGTATTGGGAGAGTAAAAATGACTGTCTAGCAATGATGAAAGAGTGGTAGAAAGGATTGAAAATCACTGCTCTAGTAGTTATACTGGCTTTCTGCTGTCACTTAATAGCACTTTCAAGTGAGCTTAAAATTTCTCCATTGATGGAACCTTAATGGGTGGAAATTCTTAAGCTGAATCTTCAAAGGAATGAAACGATGGGAGATTGATGAAAAAATGGGCATATTTATCTTATGTTGCTTGAAAGAGCATAGAATCCCTAGAACTGTGAAAAGGTGCCAGGGTAGGAAAATGAGGCTTTTTTTAGTGTATCCAACCTAAATCCATGTAACTTGTATTTTTTGTATGTATATTATAGCTCATATAAATTTTTATATGCCTTAACATTTTGTTTTTATATAGTTCTCTTATTTCTATAATATAATGATACTATTGTCTTAAATGCTACTAAAATTATATATAAATATTTTTATCCTTTGGTTTCTTATTTGTATGGAATTAAGGTCTTTTGCACCATGTGTAGTGCATGTAGATTCAGAGCTTACTGTTGGATCTGGTATGGGATCTTCTGCTTCATTTTCAGTTTGCCTGGCAACTGCTTTACTGATTTCATGTGGAAGAATAACTCCACGCCTTTTACCTGAAGACAAAGAGCTTATAAACAAGTGGGCATTTCAGGCTGAAAAAATATTCCATGGCAAACCATCGGGAATTGACAATTCTATTTGCACTTATGGTATGCAATATTAATTTTTTTATACTTAACTTTAAAGGTACAGTACTTTGATAGTGCACTCAAAATGTTTACATTTTTAAAACTGTTGGTGTTTTGTTATTGAATGGTGCAACTACTTAAAGAATGGCTCAGATAATAAAGACATAAATTTCAAATTGCTTAAAATTAACACTATTATTCATGCAAACTTAAAATTTACTTCAGAATATTATTCAGTTAATTATTTTTGATTGTGTATATTTAACCCTTTAATGCAGCAATAAAAATTCAAAAAGTGCTCTTTTTTCCACCAAATTTTTTATTCTTTATTTTAATTCAACCTCTTTTAACCTCTTTCTTTATTCTAACTGAAAACTGTAGCAGATATATTCTATAGTATTCATATCTTAAAAAAAAAAAAAAAAAAAAAAAAAAAAAAAAAAAAAAAAAAATTCTTGAATGTAGTTATTTTGAATGTGTGGAAATAATTTAGGTGGGTAACTCAGTTGAGTGCCTTAACTCTTTGAGGGACAGTAAAAGGCAATTAACTTTTTCAGCAAAACTCTTGTTTTATTACTATATCAGGTGTTACAATGAAATTATTTGCGACACTTCAATGGCTGATGCTTATTTTCTTGAAGGTGAATTGCTGCATCAACTACTGGCTTATATTTCTTGATTGCCATCTAGTGAGCTACAAGGGAACTTCAGAAACAGTCATTCTTGAAAACCACTTGCATGGCTCTCTGGCCTAAAAATCTGTTCAGAGTGTTATTCAATTTGTACACAAAATAGATTTTTCTGGCTGTTCAAATAGTCTGTACCATCTTTTGCATAATGACTTAAAGTTAACAATATATGTTCATTTTGGAATGTTGGTTAATGAAAGGAAACAGGAATTTTAATACATTGGTTTAAATTGACAGAACTAATTACAACATTTCCCCAAAAAGAGACCAGAAGTTCCAAAAAAGACCAAAAGAGAAATATTATCCTCTTATGGAGAGCATGCCATACAATTACTCCCCCCCCCTTTAAGCTCAATCTTGAAGTGTACAAGGAGACATAGGTAGGAAATGTTGAATGATAATACTTAATGCCAGCAGTCATATTAGGATCATATGTAAGATATGATTTGTCATTTAAGATAAGTTTCTACACACTTATGGATAGAATTAATTGCTTACAGATTTTAAGACAATTTTGTTTTGTCTGAATTTCTTGATTTTTTTCCTTACTTTGAAGCCATTATTTTTATATAAGATTCTAAGAGTGCGGTATTATTTTATAGATGGTTCTAGCATTTAACTTGGAAATGAACTGCATTTCTGTGATACCTTGGAAAATTTACGAACTGCACATTTTTCTTGTAGCTTTTATTGTCTATGACTGTCTAATATTCTGATATTCACTATGTAGCAGAGCTTTAAGAATTCTTTTGAATAAAAGAACAGTATAGAAAGCTGATCATCTTATTAAGCATTACTGTAGTAGAAACCCATGCCTATCACTGAAATAGAACTTTTATTAGTAAAGGTATTATAAACCTGTTAAAATCCATTAATCAATTGAAATAATTTGCTAAAACTTAATGTCTAAGATATTTTCATGGAAATCATATATTTTAGATAAATTTAACAAACATTCTCTATTCGTAAAAAGCTAATAAATCTAACTTTATTTTTCTGAAGTTATTTTCATAGTTTTAAAATAATTTATTTCTCTAAGCAGTCTATGAAATAAATATAGGTAAATTTATTGGTTATAATTTTCAACAAAAAATTTAGATTGCAAAATACTTCTTAGTCAGATGAATTTTAATTCATTTTCTGAACTTTTGAATTAATGTAAAATAAAAAAAAAGTATAATTTAAAAGTAATCAACTGCATGTATTAAAATTTAATCTCAAATTTGCATAGATCAGAGTGAAAAATATGTTATAAAATGTTTAGTTGTCTCTGTTTTCAAAGAAGATTACTTCCTTATTATTGTTGCAAAATGGTTAGTACTTAAGACTCTCATTTTAGTAAAACTTCAGTTTAATCTTGATTAAAGAAAAATTATGTAAAGTATTATTCAGAACTCATAGGATAAATAAAAGAGCGGTAAAGAACACAACAACAAACATTTGTTGTATCAGAATGTATCGGCACAAGATGAAGCATTAAGGCATGAAAACTTAAATATAAACAAAACGTAAATTGTTTACATACAGCATCATTGAAAAGTGTTTCTGTATAGCAGTAATTGCTCAGACTTCATCCCCAACAATAACATATGCTTAATAAAGTTGATGGGCCACTTGCCACCTTCTGGCAACAATACAGACCAGTCAGTCATTCTATCAACACTGTGAAATACGTAATGTTATTGTTGGAAATGGCTATTTTTTAGGAATTATTATAAAAATTATAAAAATTGCTATAAAGAATCACTTGTCAGGTATGTTTTAAAATCTCATCATTTGTACTCTTATTTAGATTAACCATAAAATATGATGCTAACGTAAATAACCTGTACATCAGTGGTAAACGGTATATGCTATTGTATAACAACACGCTAACTCATTTATAATTCTGGACATTATATTTATTTGAAATTGTTAAAAAAATGGATTAAGCATTATTTAGTGAAATAATTTAGTACAGTTTATAAAAGTTTTAAAAAATTCATTTAATTTTTCTGACCCCAGCAATAAATTTCATATGATTCTTTTTTTAAAAAAATTCATGAATATTCATGTTGAATTTAAAAAAAAAAAAATCTGAAGCCTAAAAAAATTTTTTTATGATAATGCTCCAAATGTAATTAATGTAATTCCCAGGATTTGTCTTTATTATTTATTTGTTTATTTATTTTTTGGGGGGTTTAACATGATTGTACTTTTATATCTACTTTCAAAAACATTTCAACTAATAAAGTATGATTGATTGTTATTTCTACCCAAACACAATTGTTTTTAAAATGTGTAGATGTAAACAGTAACTTCTGTGCCTATATAATATAATAATATGTAACTTCTGTGCCTATATGTATAAGAAATATTTGTGTGCTAATTGTTATTTCCTTGAAAGGTGGTGCATTGCTTTTTGAAAATGGACTTGTTGCTGATACATTACCTGAGTATGTTTTAATAAATAATATTTTAATGATAAATTTTTAAATATCCATGTATGCAAGCTGAAATATAGTCTGAAATGCAGAATGTAAAATTATATTTTTATTGTATATTCATAAGCGTTTGATTTCTTCCATTATTCATCTTCTTCATTGAAATGCTTCTTTTATTTACTTATGTACTGTCAAAAACATTTTTAAAACATAATATATGTTTCACATTTTACAGGATGCAAAACATTAATGTGCTTTTAGTGAATACAAGAGTGTCTCGTAATACGAAAGCTTTAGTAGCTGCTGTCAAGCAGAAAAAAGAAGTAGTAAGTAATATTTTTTGGTTAATAATGCAGTGTAAGCTTGCTTACAGTGCATTGCTTATAATGCATTGACTGAAGATATATAAAAGCTCAAGACATAAAGATGGAGGACTATGAAGGTTAGGACTTTTGAATTATAGTGAAGCATTGGAGTGCTATCTGCCTAAAAGGAAGATTAGTTTCATGGAGAACTTTCTCATGGAAGCTTTTTTTATATTCAGAGGGAAAAAAGTAGCTGCTTAATAGAATTAAAATATTAGGATCAAGAGAAATGAAATGAAGGGGAAACCCTTACAGTTAAAGTTATTTCTGTGTCTATGTGAAGGAGAAACATGCCACTGTGAAATGCAAATTAGAATGAAAAACTGCCTTAGATTGATTTACATTTTATTTATCAATATTTTCACAGATAATGATATAGATCCATATTCTTTAGGATTTTGCTGAAAAAGCAAAGAAGTTCCCCCTTGTTCTTCTTCAGAAGAAGAATTTATGTCAGCCTTCATGCCAGTATAATTTTGTACAAAAGTATATGCTAATTTTATATAGAACTTTATTAAACCGAGCCTGAAATAATAAGTCATTATATGATATTTTTTATTTCGATGTAATCTAAACTAATTAAATTGAGATTAACTGAGAAACATATCAGGTTTTTCTAATATGTAATTAGTATAAAGTGTTAGTGTCTTTTAGACTACACTGGCTTCCAAAATTTAAGCACATGATGGTAAAATTAAGAAAAATACAAAAATAAAGATTTGATTAATCGTAGATGAATGACACATGAAAATAGCAAATATGATTATGCATGAAGTAAAACAAGCATCATGTACAAAGATGAAAGCAATATTTAATTATAAATTTTGTAACAACATCACATTTGGGTGATTAACAAATGGATGTTGAAAGCTAAAAACATACAAACAAAATAATTAACAAGTTATGTAACTTCACCAAACCTTTACCGGTGAGATGATCAACCTTCGCAGATAATAGCAATAGCTATTCCTCCATTAGGTTATTTTTCAATTGTCCGAGACTGGCCAGAAGATGTAAACATGCAAAGGCTGCCCATCCAAGAGCAACCCAAGGAGTTTAAGATCAAGGGAATATGGCAGTCACTTCATATGGAAAACACCTTCATTCTCCAGGTACTTAATTATGATGTTGGCTCATTGAAAATACACATTATTATACATAAGGAGAAAATCAGGACCAACTGCTGCAACATAAAATCTTATGATGAGGTGTAGGTCTTCATCCCAATACTATGCAGCTGTTACAGAGCTATCTTTAAAGATGTGCAGCTGAATGAATTATCCCATATAAATTCCAGCCCATATCATGATGAAGCTATTTCTGAATTTGTGATGTTCGATGATATTTTGGTCATATTTCCTATACCTCATTCTATCCAAATAATTACATGGTTAGTATTTGATTCCAAAGCAAATCTGGATTTGAATAGAGCATTGTACCGGTATTGTCCAATTGAAATGGTGACAACACCACTTTAATCTTGTCCCTCTGGATTGGACTGTTAGTGGAACAGAAACACTTGAGTGTGCAGTCCCTTGATGTGAAGCCTTCAGTGCACGGTATTGGCAGATGGTATGGTTAGGTTAATTAATTAAGACAAAACAACTTATTTGCTATCTACCTATGGGAAAGGATGCCTTTGTTAAGGACTTTATAAGAGTAGCTGGGCATACCTATGGTACACATGGGAGAAACCAAATATTGGCAGATATTGTCTTACCAAGTGATGCTCTGTGAGGTTGCTCAACAATTCCACCAGACTACTATAACAATATACCAATCTTCAGAAGAGTTGGTAATCTTAAGTCTACTGGGCATGTCTCTGGACAACTGTTTGACTTGTTTGGGATTGTTTCTACATTCAAGAAGCTACTGAATTATCAATACCAAAGATAAAAGCTGCATCTTTAACTGGCTTGCATCCAAAATCATGCCAGAGCTCACTGCCCTTTCTCTTCTTTCAGTATAAAAATATGAATGTCATCAAAAATTATCCTATAAATATTATAAACACTTCATATCAGCGTTTAAACACTTCAGACTGCTGGCATCTTCAACAACTGCCTTGTTAGCATATTGTTGCATTTTTCTTCTGACACCAGTTGTTATGTCATTTTCTTCCTTTACGTTCGTATGGGGTTCGTGAAGATTTGGAGTGAATAATGATGACACTACTTGATGAAGTATCGAAACATACTTTATTTGCCAGTATTGTCAGGACAGCTCCAAAACACATTTTTACAGTCGTCGATAAACTACTATAAACACGCTGACACGATCAACGACACAGCCTCCAGGTTATGAGGCTATCACGGTGGAGACAGCTTCACTGCAAAGCACTAGAGTACAGCTCCCGACTCTGCTTGGTCGTTCTCGGAACTCCGCGTACTCTCGAGACTCTCCACGCTACAACTCGCGATGCACTCGACAACACACAGAGCACAGCTCCCGACTCTTCGGTTCAGTCGTTTCCGGAGCTCAGCACGCTCTCTCGATGATGCACTAACCACGATACACTACGAGACTCTTTCAGTGCACTCAATGACCCACTCTGCATTTACTGCCCGGCTGTCAACTCGTTCGACTCCGCAGCGATTGACTCGCTAGATGAGACACCAACTCGATACTAACTGACTGTGGGCCAGCAGGGTTTATATAGCTTTCAGCTTGTGTTCGAGAACATTTTGGGCTAAACCGGTAAGAATTCGTTCCAGAAGGTTCTCCAACCGTCAATGGTATATCGCCAATTTTGTCGCCAAATGTGGCAACCCTGCCTTCCCTTGCTATTTTATGGCAACCCTAAACCTGCTTTGTGGGAAAGCTATTCCACCATGCCTGTACATTTCGTGACAATATATTCAGACAGTCAGTCGTGACTGGTTGTAACATATGATATTTGCATAGTGCTGTGTACATTAGCAGTGATTTTTCAGACACTCAAATTCATCTACGCTTTTGAAAATTGCAAATTTTCATTGTGGGTCGGTGTATTTCTTATTTGTCATTTTGACTCTGTGAGATACAATTTGACCATTAAAGAGTGTTTTGAGGTTAAGACATTTGAGATCTCTGTTTCTGTGTGAAATATGCCTTATATCTGTATTTACCTCTTGATTTAATTAAATTTCGATACAGTAATTATAACAAATATATAGTAATATAGTAATTATAACAAATATATAGTTATATAGTAATAATAGTGATATAGTAACTCTTAACTAACTTTAATAAAAATAGATAAACTTTTTTGTTGTTGTTGTTTGTTTGTTTGTTTGTTACTTTAGCAGCAGAAATTTCAAAGATACACTCATAGTGTCATAGATTTGTGTTATCAGAATATTTTCTATTTTATTGCTTTTACTGGATTGTGTACTCTAAAGGAAAACCTACCATGCTGCTGAATGTTACATTCACCTAGTGATACCTGAAATCAGCTGTCCAGTAATTTTGCAATTATTCTCTTCTTCTGCCCAGATAAACATAAAAGTCCATTTATTTCTGGTATTGTAATATCTGCCATTTCTGAGTTTATATTTCTTTATAGATCTTCTATAAAATTTTATCTTAATCAAATTCTGTATCTGTATAAAAGTTGCATGTCAAATAAATAAGCCTGTAATTTACTGTATCTTTACCTCTATCTGGTGCATATCTTGGTAATGATATCTCATAAAATTTCTACACTGTTACCTTATATAATGAATATAATCTATTCCACAATGGCATTCATTATGTGAATTGTTCATTTTGCTGAATGCTTTTTGTTATGGGAATATTTCAGATCCATTCTCAACTCCAGCCCAACATAACAAAGCAACATTAAAATTTTCTCTATTAAAAGACTTTAAAATTATTGTCTATTAAGAGACTATAAAAGTGCTATTGATACAAGAACTGCTAGAATTTATTATTATATTAGCTATAAAAATTACTTATGTACACCATGTATGCAAAGTTCAGTTTTGTGTGAGTCTTTCCAATTCTCTTCTGGATATGGAATGTTCAGCTTTTACCTTCTTGCTCATTTAGCTAATTTTCTGGAAAATTCAGATTTCAAAAAATTGTTCAAAGTGATTTTCTTCTCTCACAACTTGAAAATGGCTTTGAAATACTGCATGCCTTTGTCATTGAGTGAATCAGTTAACACTCTAAGCAGTGTAAGATTTTGGATCTGTCATGAAGATGTGTATTTAAACAGTACTTATTAGCTGAATTAGTATAATAACCAATTATACTTTCCATTTTCATAAGCTTGCATTCATTAAGATAATATTTATATTATTAAAGAAAATAATAAAGCAAAATATCTTAAATTATAAGCTAATATGTGCCAACTGACAAAAAAGCTCATGATCGGTTAAAGCCGGTCATGCTGCTCAGAGGGTTAATTATGTTCATCTATCTCAGCTTGATTGGAATGCTGCTGCTTAAGTGTGAGTCCTTGTCAGTAAGTGTGGATTATTTTTCCCTCCACTTTCTCAGCTGAAGAAATATCTCTCTGGCTTTCCTTTTGTTTCAGCTTAAAAGGAACATACAATTCTTCATTGGTAATATAATGTTAAGAAATACCTTTTACAAAATAAATACAGTATTTTTATGATATCATATTAAAGAATTTGATGACCCCAAAATCACTGAATTTGGATATGTAAATCAAGATGTGATGGTATTTCTGCTTAAATTACTCAAAACTGTAGACAAGATAGCATGTTACATTTTTTGGCATGAAATTGAAGTTTTTTAAGAAATCTATATTTTATGTCTATCTGTAATGTATCTTATGTAATGTATATTTTATGTTGTAAACATTGCAAGAGAGTTTAAAATTTTATGATTAAACGTAAAATAATCATTTTCGGTATTAAAACATTTTTATTGTCATGAGGTCTTTAAATCTGTCTGTGTGGTGTTCATACATTTCTGATAGATGCCGCATATTTTGCATTTTCATGTTTTAGAATTATGGTTTTTCCATTAATTTTGTTAATTGATTTAAATATCTATGTTTTTAGTTTCCATCTATTATTGACCCAGTTTTTGAGTCTATTAATGCAATCTCAAAGCAGTGTTGGAATTTACTGAAAAATACAATATCTGCTGTTAATGAGGAAGAAATGGCAGTATTAGAGGTATATTTAACTTTATGATTTGCATTCTCTTTAAAAGCATTTTCTAGTTATAAGTATTGTGAAAAATTTAAAATAATTTAAAATTATGAAATCCAAATATAATATTGTGTGGAATTTCTTTAGTCCCTATTACAATTTGACTCATAACACAGTGTATGTGTTATTTTATTATTCTCATTCTATTAAAAAGTGTTTTCTAGTTACAAATATTTTGAAAACATTCAAAAAGTAAAATGTTTAGATCCAAATGTACTATTTTGAAGAATTTTATTGACCCCTCTTATAGTTTATTTCATAGCATTATATTTATATGCCCAATCACAGCTTTGTAGGAAGTCATTCCATGTTTAATGACCAGTTTTGTCAAAAAGAAGATATATCAGCAATTTCCTAATATTTGTTAATGTTATTTTGTCTGCTTGATTATAGTAGAATGCATGTGCCACAAATGTGTTGTTTAAACCTTATAAAATGAAGAGCACTTTAAAAAGCACAATGCCGACATCAGTATTTAATGAAGTTGGTGTCTGTTAAATAAACATTACAAATAAGATACTTGGCTTAAAAGAATATGTAGGTGCCATGAAATATACAAGATGGTATAGTCTGACCGACTGCTTAATCACTCATAAGAAACTATTACTTATTTCAAAATTAAGGAAATGATAGTGATGACGAGGAAGTAGTTAAAATGATAAATAGAATTATAATTATTATATAAAGTAAAACACTTGCTGTAGCTATTAAAACCTATTATTGTTACACAGGATATAATCCATAAACACTTTAATATTATTAGCAAAATTTGGTTAATACTAATGGCTAATAATAATCTTCTATAAACATGTGAAAAATGGTTTAAAAAATAGCTTTATTCAGGCAGTAATTTAGCATTATGCTTCAACTTATATGATTCATCCAATATGGTGTGAAATCGAAGTTATTAAGTGAGGGAGAAGAAATTGTTGGCACATTTTGTCATACCATTAAACCATCTTTTGGGGCTTTTTACATCATAGTTTTTTACCCAATCCTTTTGATAATATATATTTCTTCAATGAAGTCTTACGAAATATTACAGGTTCTACATAATGATTGTATTTAAAGATAATGAAAATTCAAGACTGGAAATTCTTAGTTGCACAGTTATGACATTGCCTATAAGTACTGCTAGGTTTCAAAGAATATTCTGTAGCTTTTCATTTATTCATAGTAAAATTAAGAAAATTTTATGGTTTTAAAAGAGCAGTGAAAATTGGTCTTCTGCTGTCAAATCAATTACAGAAAAGGTCAGATGAATTTTGAGTGCTAAATCTGCTGCTGTATGAATAAATATTACTTATTTTCTGAGTTCCTGCCAGTTTTGTAGCAAAAATGATTTTTTGTTACGCTAGTTTTAATTACTTATAACCAGTGGTTTTGATCACTTAGCAAAAACTCGTCTTCTGACATTTTTAATAAATTTTCATTCTTTAAAAGCTAACATTTCCAAGTAGTGATGAGATGAAGCAAGCTGTTCAATCATGCATGGCTCCAGTTTCCTGAGATATTGTGTGCTGTTATATCCAGCTGCTAATAAAATGCTAAAATGAGTACATTGCATAGATTGGGATTATGCAGAAAATATAATAATTTCTACTCCTGTGCATGTTTTCTGTTATTTTGAAAGTTCAAAATTCCATTTTAAACACTTTTTATAGCACAGAAGTTGCATGATTTTATTTTTATGTTATATTCCAAGCATGCATTGTCCATTTTTCAACAAAATAATAATATATGTTATAGAAAAGTTTACGTAAAGTCAATCAGAAATGATCTTGTAATGAACTTCCACTCTATATGGACCATCAGTTATATACTCTCTTCCTTTAAAGGAGCTAAACTCACAGATAATTTTCATTAATCTTCGCCTAAGTAAAAATTAGTATAGTTAATATCCATTAATTACATCCAACCCATTATTGCTTTCAACAAACCTTGAATAATTTTGAGTTAATTTTTAGAACATTTGAATACATTTTTACATGAAGGCTTTGATTAGCTAAGAAAAATTGAGTAAATAATTCATTTGTTAAACTTGAATTTAAAATTACTTAATTTACATCTTTAGAGGAAATTATCATGGTATTTTATTATTGAATAGTTTAAAATGATTATGAACTAGTATTTCATATTGATGTCATTTATAAAATTATTTTGTAATTGTTTATTATGATTAATATTCATTTTTATGTTTAAAAATATGGTGCAGACTATAGTCTAATGGGTTTTAGAAAGAAGTAAAATAAATGAACTGAAAACAAATATTAAAATCATTTTTTAGCAAATTATAAATAAGATAATTTTCAGCAAATAAATATTTTTAAAAAATTACAATACTCTTGCAGATTACATAATCACTGAAAATTTATAAGTCATATTTATTATTAAGAACATGTTATGAGTGTTTAAATCAGGCATTCATAACTTAATTATAAACAAGATATTTTATCTATTTAAATCAGAATTAATTTATTTAAATTATGATTTTTTACATTTAAAGACATGATACAAGTATGCTAAATCTTTCTGTGTCATGGGAACTGTCATTTTTTATTTATTTAAAGAAGAAAGAAAACACTTTTTATCCGAAATTGGTTGAAGCATACTAATTAACTTGAAATTTCTATGTATAAAATTAAAAAATACAAAGTTCTTAAAAAAAATTTCAAAAGTTGTCTTTTTTTCTTTTTAATTGGATTTATGTGTGCCCATTATAAGTCTTATTTTTTGTAAAATATTTTTATCATTTTCATTATTTCTTTCATCTTTCTAAAATATATCTAATCTAGAATTTCAAAAAAAATTTTTTAATTAGATTTTTTAGTGCTCATTAAGTCCAAAGTCTGAATTTTTCCTACCTCTGCCATCTTCTAGAATTCTTACTGCTTCTTTCTAAAATACCTGTGCCATCTTCAGTATTTATATTCTTTAGGATTTAAGTTTTATGTACTAGCAATGGGCACAAAACTGTAAATTATGATGAGGTATTTGATACATATTTCTTTTAGACATAAAAAAGCGATGCCATGATATTATATGTAATGGTGATTAAATTTTATTTTGATAATTCGAAAATGAAATTTTTATAAGTATGCAATTTGATGAAAATGGCAGTAAAAATTAATGGTGGTAAAAATTAACAGCAGTAAAAATGCCGGCTCTATTGCAGTAAAAATTAACTCCGTGGGTTTAGAGATCAATTTAAAAAAGCTGCTGTTGCCAAAAGCATCTAATAAAACTTTGTTTTCCCTCTCTCTCTGAAAAGAGTATTTATATATATGTATGTATATAAAATGTTGTATGATTTTAAATACCTTTAAATATTAAACATTCCCCGTTAAACATTTTTAACAATTTACATTCAAAGTACTTTAAACAATTTTCGGAATTAAACTTACTAACTATGGATTCACTCTTTTTAGATAATTCTACTAAAATTCATCTTAGGAGGTAATATAATCAATATTTCTTTCATAAATGAATTATGTATGTATATATATATATATATATAAACAAACAGGTTTCCTTCACTAAAAAAGTAGTAGAAAGTTGTCACGAAACTTTTATAAGCTGAAATGATATAAAAGGGAAAAGCAGTTATAATTAATTAGTGTGTGAAAAGTTTTGAACAGTCTGATGTTTCTAAAAAGGTTTATCAAATTTTATTTTATAAGATCATAAAACCTTAAATAACCTTGTTGTGGTTTACACAGCTCACATGAATAGAAGTAATTTGCTCAAGCATAAAGCATTCTTTTTGAAATTAAAAAAATATAGAACATATTGGAAATTTTAAAAGTGTTACCTGTGAGAATAGTACACTGAGTCACCTGTGATTTGGTAGTAGGGAAATACATGGCATGTAGTGTAGGAGAATTTATAAAGATCATATGTTAAGTACAGTTTATATCCATCAAGTCAGTATAAATTTGCCTGCCTTATCGTCAAGAGCTCAAGTTTATTGGTTATGTACTTTGGTTAATATAAAGTCTCTAAGTATGATATGTGACTTCTAAGGCATTTTTTCTGCCATGCATTTCTTTGCAAATAATCAAAATTTCCTGCAAATTTGCTTTACATATGTATCCTTTTTTATTATTTAAAATTATAATTTTCTGCACTCTTTGCATAAAATGTATGATATTCCTGCTTTTGATCTTCTTTTCATAAAAATGAAATCTTCTTCAAACTCAGTCTGTTAGCCCAAAAAATACGAATTGTAGTCTTTTGGAAAAATCTAATAGTATAAAACAAAGCAAGTGAGGCATTATCTGTAAGTATAACTTTTTTTAAGTGGTCTTTATTAATAATATAACTTTTACTTATAAAGCATGTATAGAGTACTTACATTTCATTTTTCTGTAGAAAAATTTGGGTTTCAAATAAAATATTTCTTTTCTAGAATCTGATCAATATGAATCATCATCTGCTGAATAGCTTAGGAGCAGGTCACCCAAAACTGAATCACATTCATGATATTGCTGAAAGTTATCATTGTGCATCAAAATTAACTGGAGCAGGGGGGGGTGGTAGTGCTATTATCTTACTTCCAATTAAAAATAGTAAGTAACAAATGAAAATTTATCTCAATATTTTTCAATATATTTATTTGTAATTTAAACTGTGTTTATCTGTTGACTCAATTTATACATTTTTATTTTAGCAGAAGAAAAATCTTCTATCATTGATTCTTTGAAAAAAGACTTGCAAAACTGTGATTTTGATATTTGGGATATTTTTGCTGGAACTCCTGGTGTTCAAGTTAAATTCCAATAGCTCATAGATGCTGTCTGCTATATTTATTTGTTATTGAAAGTGGTATTATGTATATTGTTTGATATTTTAAAACCCTTTTATTTATGCATGTATTTATTTCTATTTGAGTAAGTTTGAAGTATTAATCTCTTGATTATAATTTTAATGTACTAAAATTGCTAATTTATTATGTAAAATAACTTATTTAAGATACAGTGAAAGTAGAAAGAAACTAATGTTCAGAAATCTGAATGCTGTTGTCTCTGCAAAACTGTGTGTATATTCTGAATTACTGGCAGATTTTTATAACTCTTTTTTGTTTCCTATTTGGTGAGTTCATATACAGTAAAGGAAGGATCAAGGATTTCAAAATTATAATTTTAACTAACAGTAACCCTTAATTCCCCCTCTCTGTTCTAAAATCGTAATAATAGTTTTTCTGGACTGTTTCATTTCTAGATTAACTGGTGCCACAGTTTGCGTAATGCTGATTAATTAATTAGTTAAATTGGAATCTAAAATCAGAGACCTGAAACTTTTCTGACCTAAACCTTTCTGCCATATTAGATAAATGTGCACTTTGCTCGACCCTCTGTGCTGCTTAGATGCAATTTTGCTGTACTCTTTTCCCATTGGAATAGCATTCAAAAATAAATATTCTGGAAATAGGCACGATTAGAGTGCCGAGAAAATGGTGGCCACAAATGTCAATTTAAATAAAAATGAAATTTAATCCGCCTCAACTGCAAAGTTTCATAGTTATAACAAAGCAATCAGAATTCTTCCTCTGAATCAGAATATGAATATACATTCTAAGCTATCAAGTATTTATGCAGTCAGTATTTCTGCATTTTTATGTCTCAGTAGTCCTCCATCTGTAGTTATAAATTCGTTTTCATTACATATATATGTATTGGTTTAGCAAATTTTTAATGCTGTTTTGCTAAAAATGGTAAAATGATTTCTAACAAGCATATAATTTTAAAGAATAATAATTAGCCCAGAAGGGCTATTAATTTCATTTTGGCATTTTGCGTTGACAACTTTAAATATTGGTTCATTTTTCAAACTGTTGCCACCAAATATTACAGCCCTGTATTACATTTAAAGAAATTAAATAATGAAGAATCTGTATAAATGTATGTATGTTTCTCACAATGTGATAAAACGACAGTACCTAGAACCATCAAATTTTGAATAATGTACGTTTCCACCCAAATAGGGGCATCTGGAAGCCCAAATTTGGAATTTGCTTTATTATCTATTTCATATTTTATAAAATGTTAATGAATTTTTGATTAACAAACTCAATGATTTCAAAGCGAGCAATGACAACACTGTATGGGGAGAATTTATCTCCAGTGTGCCAGACTATATCAGAAATTCTAAAAATATGCTCATTTTAAAATTATTTTTTTGATATTACTGTTGAACTGAATTTAATGGTTTAACAGGGTTCGTACGGTCCTTAAGAGTCCTTAAAAGTTCTTAAGTTTTTTGGAATCGATTTTTGGTCATATTTCGATCCTTAAAAGTCCTTAATTTTGGCCGAAAGCGACAAAAGGTCCTTAATTTTAATCATCTGAAATTTCTGTCTGTTTTTACGACTGTCATTTCGAGTGTGAATTAGCATTTTGCAGGAATATTTTTGGCAATTCACTGACAAATATGGAAATTTTTTGAATGGGTTCATGAGTTATAATTTTTTCCTATTTGTAATATAAATAATGGTGGGATACTCGAGTTTCTGAACAAGAAGTGAAACATAAGCATTTCAAAATTATTTCATTTTTTGTAATGAAGAGCTCTCAAAGAACTTTCCACTTTTGGGGATGTGAATTCTTTTATTAAACGGTTCTAAATTTGGCGATTTTCAGATCGGTTTCTATAGAAAATTTTTAATTCCGAGATCTGTGAATTTTTTGACGATTTTTTTGTTAAATTTCATTAAAATAATGTTAATATATTGGAATTATATTTAAGAAATAATATTAAAATAAAGAATTTTTATTTTTCTTTGTTATATTATAAAGTTCCATTTTGGCCATATATTGTAAAATTTTTTGAATGTGAAAAATAAACAAGGAATAATGCTATAAAGCACAGTTTACAAAACAGTTTTTAGCAAAAGCAAAATAGCTATGTAATTAATTAAAAATGTCTTTTTAATTTTTTCATGGTAAGAATTTTTCCCATTTCTCAGAATGATCAGAATTCTCAGAAAATGCATCAGTTTCCTCTATAAAATTGATTTCACACTTTTTTCTTCCGATTTTTTTAAAAAACATTTCTGGCTTTTTGCTGTTACAGAATTGGTAGGGGTAATTTTTCTTTAGGATTTTAGACATTGAAGCTTGGAAAGTTTAGAAAGATTTTAAGGCAAATTTATAGACCCTCGATTCTAAAAGATTCCAGAAAAATGTGATAAAATGAATGTTTCTGGAGTGTAAGACAAGTGTGTTTCTGACCTCCACTTGCTCTTTGTATTAGTTGTGTCAGCTCTGATAATTTGTAATTATTAGTCTTTCCATTACTGCTGCTGACATTTGAGTTTATTATGACAATAGAGTTACTGAACCAGATTAAATTGAAATTAAATTGTATAGTCTTTGACCACTAGTCCATATTTTTAGTTTGAATTTGACTCTTCTTGTTTAATTATATCACCACAAACTGTAAATAATTTTGTTTGCATAAGAACATGCCTATATGTTCTAAGTTCGTTTTAAATAAGAAGCTTATTTAAACCTTTATTTAAATTTATTATCTGATTTATAGTTAGTTTCAGACATAGTGATAATTTGTTTCACGTCTGTTGGGGGGGGGGGGTGTTTGTTGGACTATTTAACTTTTACCAGATCAAGTAAGCCCTCATAGGTAGTACATTCTGGAGAGGTTGGCAGTTGGGAGATAAAACACACAGAAACTAATGAGAACATTGTTTTGCATATTGAGACAAATTTCTAATTGTTAGAAAACATGTTTAAGGAGAAGGAAATCGATATAAATTAGCCAAAATGTCTGGGCAGGCCTTCAAATTAAAAAGACGCATAATTATTTTGTTGAGTTTTATGTTTTGTAGATTTTAATGTGTAATTATCCTAATATTGTTTGAAAATCAATGTCATAAATTGCATGTATTTTAAACTGTGAAATTTTATGAGATTGTGATATTAATAGGGTTTTTTTAACAAATATTATTCTGGAATTTTCGTTTGGCTGGCGTCAGTCCGCCGAACCGACAGTATTAAAGTTAAAAAATAAGTATAGTCTCAATGAAATGTGATCAAAAGTAGTTTTAATGAAATTTATTGAAATATTCTAAACAAAAATACGGCTTAGTTATACAAATTACAATCTGAAACAACTATTTTGGTTACATTTTTGGCTATCTTGCATCCAAATAGTTTTGAATTGTCATCATAACATTTCGAACAATACTTTTGGACTTTATGTGCGTCTCCTTCCTTTTTGTATAATTTATGAATAATTTAAGTTGGCAATATTGCACCGCTTGATCGCAATATTGCCACCGGCTGATCGCTGCTGGCTGAACACAAAGGACAACAAATTCGGCGCCGGGCTCAAGGTGTTAAACCTTTACCGTGGTCACAAGGTAAAACACAAAAATATAAAAATTCATGTGAAACTTATTCTTTGCATCTAGTGAGACTTAATGCAAAACAACTTACCACCGCTAATGCTTTAGTGGCCTAATAGAACCTTAAATTCTATTAACTGAGTCACAACCCCTGGAACTCTACACGAAGCTATGACACTAACAGCGTCAGACAGTGGTCAGCTAACTTTCAAAACTTGCTAACTATGCCTACATCAGGCCTTTCAGTTTTGTTCTGATTAGCAGGTCTTACTATAGGCGAGCAGGAGCGGTGACAACAGCCAGTCTTTTGTTATGAATCATGCTGATTATGATTTTAATGCTCATTTTAACCTATGCTGCTTGACATAAAATCTACTTACTAAACCTCTAGACTGAGCAAGTGTGTGACAAAAGGAGACATAAAAAAAAAAAAGCTAACTGTTAGTAAAATGTAACTAAAATGTCACTTATCTTCTTTCAGATATGTCCAGTTATTATGAGTCTAAAATATTTAATGCTACTTGATAAATTTCATAAAATTATTTTTATTCTCAAAATATTAATTATGTTAATTAAGATATGTTTAATAATAATGCAAGCTACTCACATTCAGGCGTAGATATAATATTTTTAATTGAATTTATTCAGTTCCCATATGCTCATAGGTCCTTAATTTTTTTCATTAATGGTCCTTAAAAGTCCTTAAAAGTACAGAAATGCGTACGCACTCTGTTTAAGTGCAAAGAACATGATATTTAATAAATAAAGGTAACCCACAAAATGTTAAAAAGAAATGCCCCTTTCAGCATAATATAAAATCTAAAAGCTTTCAGTTTTTTTTTTTTTTTTTTTTTTTTTTTTTTTTTTTTTTTTTGTTTTGTTTTTGTTATTATTTTAAATATATTTTTAAAGAATGAAAAAATTTCATCTTGAATGTACATACCTGATATATAAATGCTTCAATACATATTATGTTTATACTTAATAGAAGAATATCTTTGAATCATATTGCATATAACCATAATGAATAAAAAATAATTGTAAATTAAAAGCTAACTTTTGTGGGGAAAAAATGAGTTTTTGTATTTAAGTTTCAGTTTTATTTAAAATGATCAGGTAAAGCAGTTCCTTTTTCGTATTTCTTGCACAAATATCTAGGCTTTACATGACATTTAATTTAACTATAGTTCACTATCCCCTAATTCCCTGTGATAGAAATTCCCCTGTTTAAACCAATCATCTGTCAGAAACATATCAGTGCAGTCAACTATAATCTGGACCTGATTCTTCTCATAAACAGGAAATTTTCTACAAATATATTGTTTAAAATGGCTACTTTTGTGGCAATTGTTGAAAGATGTCTTCCTTCAAATTGGCTGCATGTTTACACTGACACTTAAATTGTGGATAGCATTACACTGGAGCAAGAATTCATTCAAAACTTTTTAATCTCTACAGGTCTTTCAGTAAATTCAGCCATAACTTTGATGATGAAGTGGCTGTTAGTCTCTTTAGTTGTCAAGAAAATTGGCAGAAGAATTGAGTCAAATGTTGTTACCTTTATTATTTGTCAAGCTGTCATTAAAGCACTTACTTATATGTCTCTCCTTGGTGGTAAAAATTAACTTTATTTCTGCCAGATTGTTCTGATTCTCTTTTGAAAGCAGGCAGCACATTACTTTATAATGGATCCCCAACCCTTCTGGCATTACTCAATATAATCTGGTAGATGGCTAGGCTAAGATTAGTTTCTGCCTTACCTGTGGATGGCAGTTTGCACTGCAAAATTTAACTTAGGAAAAAGTTTAAATTTGTGGACCAGTTGTTCCAGTTTTGACACATTATGAAAGGAGCACTCAGGTAGTTATCAGAACTAATTTTTTATCATTATATTTTCCTTGCCATTTATAAAAAAAATTTTCTCTAAGCGATATACAAAGTATTAACCTCAACACTAGTAAAACTCTTAATAGAAATGATTAAAGCTTGTAAACCAATAGGACATATATCTCCATATCAGCAGAAATAAAAAAAAAAAAAGTATTCAGAAGCATCAAGAACATCCCCATATGTTTATATCATCTGACACAATTCATAGCCACCTTGTGTTTATTTACATTCCTCAACTCGCAGTTTCCATTTTGATTTCAAAAGAAATATCGAAAATAAAATACTGCAATGGAATGAAGGTCAGTCTCAATAAATTCTGCCATAAAAGACGTAGGGTTTCACAAAGTAGCCCAAAAAATATACAAATTAATCATTCTATCTAGAAATTCATATGTGGTGCACATGTCCTAAGAGTCAGTGACATACCCAACTCTGAGGTACCATTTGTGACTGATTCATATGTAATATGCCCATTCTGAAAAGGTTGAAGAAGTTACTTGAATTCACCTCTGTCTCTCTAATCTTTTCACAATTATTGTTTTTCAAATTTTTCAAGTATGTCTTCCAATGAAATCTTTAT